GAAGAGGCAACGTCGTTTCCAATTTGGTTCTCGACTGCTTCTTTACAGCCAGAACCACAGGAATCAGATGAGCGAGGAGGATTGACGGAAGAGTCATCGATGCCGAGGACCCCATGGGATGTGTCAAATCACGACCGCCAGTTCCTCGTATCTAAACTTGAAGATTTTGCACATGTCCCTTCCGAAAGGTTTTACATCTCCTTCGAGGCATGGTCTATCTCGATATCTTGCTGGGTATATCAATGGACTCAACGAACACCTCCCGTTTGTGCATATACCGACCTTTTCTGTTTCACGCTCTCCCCCGGAGTTGACCCTTGCTCTCGCAGCAGCAGGCTCACATTATCGATTTGAGAACGCACGCGGGATTGAACTTTTCCACGCCGCAAAAGCCATCTTACTTGAACGGATCCGGCGCTGTGATGCTAAACGATCACCACCGCAGTGGAATTTAGCTCAAACGACGAGTTCTGCTATTCACACGTCCCGCGGATCTTCCTCTATCTCTAACCCGAGCAACAGCCCCTTTCAGCCGCCTTTCATTCCAATATCGGACAACGTGATCCATCCAGCAGAAGATTCCGAAGCACAAATGGAAATTATACGCACATTTCTATTGCTTACTGTCTTCGCATCGTGGGAACGTCATCCGGACTTGTTAAGAGAGATCCTTGCGCTGCAAAGCACGCTTGCTCGACTGGTTCGTGACCATGGACTGGCAGAACCAGGACCTCCTTTTGATATAGCGTCATGGGAGGACTGGGCTCGTCAAGAAGCAGATCGGCGGACGAAACTTATCGTTTACTGCTTTTTCAATCTCCACTCAATAATGTATAATATCCCGCCATTGATACTGAACTCTGAATTGAAGCTCAATATGCCATCGCCGGCCGACGAATGGAAAGCTGCCACCGCTTCTCAATGGCGCCGTTTACATCGTTCCCGAGCTGGCTCGGAGGTGCTATTTCAGGAGGCGTTTGCAAAGCTCTTTGTCAAAACACCCCATTTGAGCTACTGCAGTCAAATATCGCCTTTGGGGAATTATGTCTTGATTCACGCGATTATCCAACAAATATTTTTCGCTAGGCAATTGTGCCTATCAGCGCCCCTTATGGCGGGCACCAGCCTACGACCTGAAGATCTTAGCATCCTAGAGGCATCACTGGGTGCTTGGAAGGCTGGTTGGAGACGAACACCAGAGTCGAGCATAGACCCTCAAAATCCTGCTGGCCCGATTGCTTTTACCTCGACTGCCCTTCTCGGCTTAGCATATATCAGGCTCCATGTTAATCTTGGACCCTGCCGCCACCTTGTCACTCAGGATCCATTGCAAATTGCCCAAGCTCTGAAAGAATCCCCGCCAGTTAGCCGCCACCCTCGACTCATCATGGCTCTCCTACACTCTGCGCATGCATTATCCATTCCAGTCCGGCTGGGGATCGATTTTGTCGCTAAGACTCACTCATTCTTTTGGAGCATCCAACACTCTATCTGCAGCCTTGAGTGTGCCTTTCTGCTCAGTCGATGGCTTCTTTCTATCCCTACAACCCAAGCCGAGCAGCCGCTCTCCGATCACGAGAGAAAGTTGGTGCTGTGGGTTAGAAGCATGATGGAGGAGACAGATATGCCCGTGGAAATGGCGTCGACGTCTGAGTTGGAGTTTTTGAACGATCCGACACAGGTGAAGCAATTAAGTCTTACCGTTGTGCGGGTTTGGTCGAGGACATTCAAGGGTAATACGAGCTGGCCGATTGTTGACCTGATCGGGTCGAGTTTAGAAATTTATGCGGATCTGTTGGAAATGTGAGGTGTTTCAGGCGCTTTCCGTCTCGCGATTCTATCCGCGAAAGGCATATATATATTATACCCTTTCACGTTATCATGTGGATCGTTTTCTCTAGTAATTATGATATCCCCGTGCGAGTGGTGTGGCGTTCAATCCATCGGCTAAAAACTACAATAGTGAATGAGTAATATAATGAACGGGCCATGTTTCCTCATGGTCACTTTAAAATTATATTATAGTATAATAAGAATAATCGATGTACCGGGAAGAAATAATGTTTTATGCGCAACTCATGGCTACTTTCGGTTTTTCTCCTTCCGTCTCACCACACTCATAGGGATGAATTTTAATGCTGACATAGACTTCGTAAGTTCAGCAACATCATTCTGGGACGAATGAATATCAGCAGATCCTAAGCCTGTTCCAGAAGCTGTACTGTGCGGTCCTACAAGTTGGCTATTGGGCGCTTGGGCAGCAAGATTGTTGCAATCCGTGGCCTCAATTGATTTAGGCCCCTGGTGGGTGTTTTTAGATGGGGACACCAATGGTAGCCACTGCGGACTTGGTTTGAGAAGCGATCTGTGTTTGTCAATTCCGTCATTTACGACATCAAAATTATACGTCTAGACAGCAATAGTCAGATTCATGCTTCGCAAATTAAAGGCAAAAGGGAACGATATTCACCCTAGGAAACAGATGTTTATCCATCAAGTGTCTTTTCCGCGTGTGCGGTGAAGAACATACCCGCCCGCATCCTTCGACAAAGCAGCCATACTGTATAACAAATAAGTTAGCAAAGATTTATGGCACGAGTACGAGAGTAAAAGGGTCAAGCATCATCACCGTTTTGTCTCCCCGCTCTCGCCTCAGTTCAAACAGTGGATCGTGATTTTCTTCAATATGACGGGTGACGAAGAGTTCGGAAGGGAAGTTCTTCCCGCACTGCGAGCATCGATTGGCATGCCACTGCTTGTAGTGGACCTCGTAGTCTTCATATGTCGAGAAAGAGAAGACTCCTCGATGTGGCGGAAACAAGCAGCGTATCAACTCCGGAGGCGACTGGGATGTGTCTAGATGTGCCTGTTTATTTGAAAGCGTGGCGCTGGAAAAAAGAGATTCTGAATAGACTGAAAAGTCAGGACTGTGCTCCAAGGACGCGTCAAGGACGTCTTCCTCTCGTGAGCGTTTGATCATACTGCTGCACTCCTGGCAGGTGCACAAAAGAAAGTTGCAGAGAATAAAGCAAACGACTGTCTTGAGTGAGTATACGGGCTTGAATAAATAATTGTTCTATCGGCCAATTGAGACTTCAGACCTCGAGTTTGATAGCACATGCTTGAAAGTTGCATCGACGGCAACAGCAGCTTGAATGGATGTTTGTTGACGTTGAAGCAATTTGGCGCTAAGGTGGCGATAAGATAAGGCTAACCAGTGAACTTAAACGTGGATTAATAAGCAGGCGGGATGAGGGACGAAATATTCGTCACGGAGGCACAAGAGGACTTCAATCTTTCACTTCTCACTCTTTACAGAGCAGAAAACGACAATAGGGAATATCAAGAGGGCCTAGTTTGTTCATCATGGTGCTCCCGAAATCGAAGAATGCCGTCGGGCTAGGAAACAGTTTTATGAACGACCGGTTTGGCAAGGGCAAAGCTTCCGATCGGAAAAAAGTCTCTCACAACGCTGCTGCCATTCGACGGACAGGCCCTGGAGGTGAAACATATATCACAAATCCATCAGAAGAGGCATCATGGGTTAAGATGCGAAGTATCACGGAGCAGGCGGCGTTGGAAGAATTTCTTAGCACAGCGGAGCTTGCGGGGACAGACTTCACCGCAGAGAAGTTGAACAACGTCAAGATTATACACTCCGACCAGAAGAATCCTTACCTCCTTTCTGCTGCCGATGAAAGGTCAGCTGTGAATAAACACCAGAAAAACAAAAACCGATTAACTGTGCCGCGACGGCCGAAATGGAATTCCAAAACTACCCGGCAGCAACTGGATGTAATGGAGAGGGAAAGCTTTCTTGAGTGGAGGAGAGGGCTTGCCGAATTGCAGGAAAACCAAGATCTTCTAATGACGCCGTTTGAACGCAATATCGAAGTGTGGAGACAGTTATGGAGGGTTATCGAGCGGTCAGATCTAGTCGTACAAATCGTCGACGCACGCAACCCGCTCCTTTTCCGGTCTGAGGATCTTGAGAAATATGTGAAGGAAGTGAACCCGAATAAGAGAAATTTATTGTTGGTAAATAAAGCAGATATGATGACACCGCATCAAAGAGAGCTGTGGGCAGACTATTTCGAGTCGCAAGGAATTAGCTACAAATTCTTTTCGGCGGCACTCGCAAAAGAGCAAAATGAAACAAATATGGATGGAGAAACAGACGATACGACTTCCGAATCAGAAGACCCTATTGACAGCCAGGATAAGGCTGATTCGGGCGTTTCTGAAGAGGATTCGGATGATGGAGATTCGGAAACTGAAGAAAGTGGTGGCGTACCGCTGCCCATCGATTCACGCGAATCAAGGATCCGGATCCTCACCGTTGACGAATTGGAGTCATTGTTTCTGGAAGCGTCCCCTACCCCTACCTCTCAGGATAACAATTCCGAAGACTCACCCAAAAGATTGACTACTATTGGCCTTGTCGGATATCCCAATGTTGGGAAATCCAGCACGATCAACTCTCTACTAGGCGCGAAAAAGGTCTCCGTGTCAGCCACTCCAGGAAAAACCAAGCATTTCCAGACTTTACATCTTTCTTCATCTCTGGTCCTTTGCGATTGCCCTGGTCTTGTATTCCCTAACTTTGCCACCACTAAAGCAGAACTTGTTGTCAATGGTGTTTTACCCATTGATCAGCTGAGGGAATATACTGGGCCAGCCGGCCTTGTTGCTCATAGAATTCCGAAGCATTTTCTTGAAGCGATATACGGCATGAAAATTTATACACGGCCGCTCGAAGAAGGGGGTACGGGTGTCCCGACAGCTTCCGAAGTCCTGCGAGGCTATGCGCGCGCAAGAGGTTTTGCAACCACTGGACAGGGTCAACCTGATGAGTCCCGCGCCGCAAGATATATCCTCAAAGATTATGTAAACGGAAAGTTGCTATATTGCCATCCACCCCCGCCAATAGGGGACAATGATCCTATAAACGCGATAGAGTTTAACGAGGGCTTATATGACCTTGCCCGTCTTCCCCCCAGGAGACAAGCAGCATTGCTTAACTTGTCCTCTAGCGCATCTGTGTCGGGGTTCACGGAGAGCAATGATGCCGACACGAACTCTGAGATTACGTCACTATCTTCATCCAAGTCGCCATTCGAAGGTGTTCGATCGCGAAATCTTGATGCTGGATTCTTCACGGCTCGCGGTGATGGATCTGCTGGCCATCTCAAGATGCCTTTTAACCACGTATACACCGAACAAGGGGCGCAACAGAGGAAGAAAGACCTGTCTGGACGGAAGGCCAAAGCGATGATAGCGCTCGAAAATGGTATCGATGTTTCAGAAGTACGATCTTCTGGCAAAAAGCATTTCAAGGGCGGGAAAAAAAAGGCCAAGGTGAAGGTCAACACCAAGGATGCGGATGACTTTTGAGTTAATGATGGACTGTTTGATATGATTTGGATGATATTATTTTACTCTGTGCAATGAATATACATAGATAAGGAGCCGGGGCATAAGGAATAGGCATCGTGGTTCAAAAGCTGGCCAGGCGTAGATTATTTTCCTGAACCCCTTTCTCTCTCCTTGATGCCAAGCTTCTTATCAGCTTATCGATAAGTTAACTAACCTTAATCTCAATCACGTGAATACCGCACGATAACGAAGTCGGCAATTTCTCAAATAAAGATTCACCGCAGCCGCAAAGAATAGCTGGGAAAGCGAGGCATATACTCCGTACCAAAGTGATAACATCAGCTTGCATTGACGAATATCGTCCTTCAATTCCCCACCTCTGGTAAAAATGCCTCCGAAAAGGGGTTGGATGTGGGTTTTTCTCCCCCTCTTCTGCCGGCCGTGAACCTGTATTGATCTGCTATCTTTGCTGTAGTGATAAAAAAACTGCGACAACATATCAGCTGTTTCACAGGTCGCAAAATGATCCGTTGATCCATGACCCGGAAGCGGACGATCGCGTTCTTCACCAAGTTTCTGGCCCATCCCAGAAACCCATTGCTCCGAAAACCACCAGAGTTCTCAAAGACCTAGAAACCGAGTTTGCAAACTCAAGAGCCCGTGAAAATGAAGGAGAAGCAGCGAATTATGGTATCTTCTACGATGACTCCGAGTATGATTATATGCAGCACCTTCGAGAGCTGGGCAAGGGCGGTGGGGAGGCACATTTTGTGGAAGCAAAGGCCAAAAAGGACAAAGGGAAGATGAAGAGGTTAGAAGACGCACTAGCAGAAGGCACGCTGGAAGATGACTTTGATGGTCTTTCATTAAGAGACTCCTCTTCGACATACGGTGGGAATGATGCGTTTTCAACCGCTTCCTCATACGTCCGGAAACCAACCTACCAGGATCAACAGAATATTCCAGATGCGATTGCTGGATTTCAACCGGATATGGACCCCCGGCTAAGGGAAGCCCTAGAAGCGCTTGATGATGAAGCATTTGTTGATCAGGATGGCGACGAGGATATTTTTGGTGCTCTTGTTGATGGTGGATTGGATGCAGAGGTTGATCCGGATGAGTGGAGGGATAAATTTTTTGAGGAAGAATATGACGATGGATGGGATTCGGATTGCACAGAAAAGGCACCTGTTCAACCCATGACATCCTCCACCACAACGAATGACGTTGACTCGAAGCACTTCAATCCTTCTGGCACGGACTCTGAAATTCCCGCGCACGATGCGCCAATTCCAGATGCCGCTCACGATGATGGAGATTGGCTCAAGAATTTCGCAAAATACAAAAAGGATATGAAGTCGAAACCGTCCCCAGTGGAACACTCTGAAAATGCATCTGAGCGCCACACCGCAACCTCAACGATGTTTACAGTAGGTGGAACACCCATTCGGAAAAAGAAGCGCAAGGGCGCGCTCACAAATCCATCCGCATACTCTATGACATCGTCTTCTCTTGCCCGCACCGAAGGACTTCGACTATTAGACGATCGTTTTGAAAGAGTAGAGGCTTTATATGCACTAGATGAGGAAGGAGAGGACTACGAAGGCTCAAGCATGGCGGACGACATGTCTGTTGCGAGTGGATTGTCGAAGTTCTCGCAGACGCCCAGCATGATTTCACAAAGCGCAAACGTTCCAGTGAGAGAAGATTTCAACTCTGTGATGGACGACTTCCTGGGGGGCTGGCAAGATCGCGGAAAGCAGGCTCGAAGAAAAGGTGCAAAAGGGAAGAGAGGGAAGAATGGCAATGAAGTTCTGGGTATGAGGATGCTGGATGAGATTAGACAGGGTCTTGGACCTGCAAAGGTTCCTGAGAAGGTTTAAGCTGATTTTCTCCCGGTATCAGTTGATGCCATTCTAATGATTTAGGAAACGCGATGAAGATTCATGCTTGTGATTGCATAACGGCGAACAGGTGCTTGAAAGTATACCGCTTTGAAAGATCAGGGATTGCATTGGGAGTTCAAAAAAAGTACCATATGATGTTAGCTTACAAAACTAAATCGATCTCTAATCTTACACTCTATAATACTGTCTAGTTGCATATTCCATGCCAAAAATATCATCTCTGAAGATCAATTCTAATAGCTCCTCACATCGCTCCTCCAACAATAGTAACAATCCACATAGCTAGTCTGACATGCCACCCAACCCTCCTCTCTGTCATTCGAAAGTCTTCTCTCGACACCGGTTTCGCATCATTTTGTAGCCAATCTGCTTCTTCCCCAAGTCTACGCTTCAGCTTCTCATTCTCCGTCACCACAACCGCCCCAACTTCCAGATCCAAACCATAGCTGCGTTTCGTATAGTTGCTGCTTCCCACAAATGTTAAGCTTGGGAATTTCTCGTTCGGAAGTGTAATCCAGAGACCCTTTGCGTGGTATGTCCAGCCGTTTGGTTCACCCACTGTGCCGCGCCGCCATTCTTTCAGCTGAATTGAATTCGTTTTTTGGGCTTCTGCGACGCGATCGAGGAATTTTGCTGAGAGATATGTGTATCCTGCCGGCAACATCCCTGAAACTCCCGGAGAGCCGTAAAAGCCATTCGCCCAAGGTGAGGCTGTGAGCACGATACCCTGAGTCTGAGGGGATGCCGAGGAAGAAGTGCTAGCGATCAGGAGAGATGACAGGGTAGGGTGAATGTTAAAATATCCTGCAGTGAAAAGCCATTTGGAATTCTCTAACAATGGGTTAGTTGAGAGAGCTCTTAAAATTCTAGTGACGGCAGGGAATTCTGTCGATTCATCCGGCTTTAAGAGAGGAGTGAACTGCGCCACTGGATATACGTAGGCTTTCTCCTCTGATAGTGACGAGGTCGGGGTGTCGGTAGCGATTGGTATGATCAATTTTGGAAGGATTGTAGAAGCAGAGGAAATAAAATCTTCTGGAGTTTCCAGCGGGGAGGGAGCTATGTTCCTCGCAGGCCACTCCAATGTATAGCCTGACCTTTCCTTCTCACTGGGAACAACTAGGAAGCTCAAGTTGCATATTGCTTCATGTATACGGCCATAGTAATCTGCTAGTTGCTTTGAGGTGAAAACATGGTATCTGTCTAGCCGATTCGTGAAGTAGTCGTTGGAGAGGTTGGCGCTGGTTAGGAACGGACAGTCAGCATATCTTCCTCTCAGGACCCATCAGGAGAGAGATCTCACACCCAGAAAGTATGATCTCGTCGTCAACGCCATATAGTTTCATGTGCTGTAAGCCCCACCCTTCATTGATACGTTTTGGAACAAGTCGTTTCCTTAACCCTACTAGATTAGGGGTGTGGAACATTCTAATCTCAACTCGATGCGGCCCATGCTCTGCAACCAGTGACGCCAGGAGGGATGCGCATGACGCATTAGGCGATTCGCGAGTTCCTCGTAGACAGTCGGTAAGAATGGAGACGGTAAGGTCAGGGTTTTCGCGTAGGCTTTCGCTAATAACATTGATAAGTTCACGTTCGCTTTTCCCGATGTAAAGCGTCGAAAGGTAAATACGACGTTTCGCGTGTTTTATTTTATGCTGTGATGAGTTAGTATTTAGCAGAAACGTCGGGGTTTCAGTGAGACATGATTGAGTATGCGGACCTTGAGGGTTTGGTAGAATGAGTCTGGAGAGTCGAGGATTTTTATATGCGCCGCCTGGATTTCAAACCGTGGAGCAATACGGTCCAGCTCGACAGTCAGAGCACCGAGAGGCGACGAAGAAGAAGCAGCATGGCTCGCAGCAGTGGCGGCCGCACTCGGGTTAGATGTGAATTTGCGCACTCGGATTGAGACCTGGATGCCTCGTCTGCGACAGCATGGGAGGCATCGGCCTCCGATGCGGCTGAACATCGCAGGCTAACACTTGAGAATAAGCACGCAGTCAACTAGCGCTATAGTTATCATGAAAATAAAGGAGAACACAGAATCCAATTGAGGTTCATTTGTCTATCTCGTCTGATATCAGAAGCTCAACGCCGATTTTATTCCTCGTTATCTTATCAGATCGCCGGCAGAACGGCGCTAAACCGCTTCCAGACCTCCACTTTGTTCATCGACGGCGACATCGCGGTTGCAAGCAGGCAGTCAACGGCGCTTTTCACCGCGAAGATGTCGACTCTCCCTCGCACGCTCCGGAATCTCTGGAGGATAGGACTTAAGGTACCCTGCACTCTCCACGGCTCAATGGCGATCCCACTAACCGCTCCCGTTCAATAGGAATATGGTCACCAAATGCAGGTATGAGGTTGAATCCGTTGCAAAACCAGGCCAATTGGTAGGATGCTTATCGATCTATCGTTTTGATTCAATAGTATATTGGTACGTGCCCTCAAGATATCACGGTATATTGGACTAGCGCGGCTAACTGGCATATATCTTGTCTTCTACAGGTGATACCAAAGCTGGCACTCTGATTGCTATAGACCGATACGGAAACAAATACTATGAGAACAACGACGAGTTACCACGTATGTATAATCAAATCAGTACTGCGGGGAACACTTGACGGACTACGCTTACCGATCCAAATCCCGTTAGTCCGCACTCGCTGGGTAGACTACAAGCAGAAAGAGCTCGATGCATCTCAAGTTGAGCCAGGATGGTACGCATCGCTACCCTTCCTCAACAGAGGGGAATTAGACGCTCATATCAATTCGATTTTAGGCACGCATGGCTAGCATACATGGTCGACAAACCGCCAACCCAAGATAAAATCATGCAAACCGGCGTACGGGCATGGGAGACCCCCGAGCACAGACCAAACTTGACTTTATCTCGAGCCGCATTCAAAACTTATTCGACGTAGGTTGTCCTCAAATTGATTTCCATGCCGACCATTCTTTTGCTTATGGCCACTCTTCTGAACTAGGACGAAACCGAAGCTCTCTGCTTGGGACCCCGTTGCAAAGCCGAGATAGGCCTCAATTTGTGCGATGACCGACCTAGAACACATTCAAGACATCATCAAGAGTTGTTGCATTAAATAATTGTATATAGCTGATTTGGTCCCTGCGCAAATAGCTTCCTTGCGACTAGCTATGTACTGTTATAGGCCCCTTCCAAAGAGGGAATTAGCGTGCACAAATAACAATGTACTGCGATAAGGGTATCGAATAAAAAGCAAAGCTGTATGGATAAATAATCTATATGACCGGACACCCCAGAACCAAAAGCTATCGAGTCTCGGTTATAGAACATAACCCCCGGATCCAACATTCCACCAGTGCCGAACCGGTCGTCTGTCCTCCAGGTCGATACACCACCAAAGGACTTCCTTAGCCTTATCAATCTGGTTCCCATGTTCGTAAGCCCGTGATAAAGAAAACCAAGCCTCTGAATTATCCCACGCGGTTCCCAACTTGGTCAATGCAGATAAAAGACCATACGCCCGATCTCGTGCGGCGAGGCGGTCGAGGTACTCTGGTGAGTCCTTGTTTGAAGGTGCAGGTGCATAGGATGCCCCCTCAGCGATATCCTTTCCATGGCACGACAATTCTTCGCGTGGTGAAATCGAGAGATCGGAGATATTAGGAAGACCAGTGGCATCCGGCTTTTGTGTAGGTAGTTTTTGCTCCCAGATATCCAGCAAGAGATCAGCTAATCCGACTGTTGCTTGTATATGGTCCGGAAAGTATATAAGTGCCTCCTCGAACTGCGTCATGGCCTCGAAAGGCTGCCCTTGAGTTTTGGATATGCACCCTCGTTCGGCATAAACATCACCCCATACTTCATCTGAGGACCGGGCCCCTCCCCAACCAGGATCGGCAAACGCTTTCGCAGAAGATTCTTGTTTAGCAACGAGCTCTTCGAAATGCTGCGCCTGCTGCTTAGCTTCATTCCAACATCCTAGTGCGTCTTCGAACAATTTAGCCCGCCTATAAAGTCCAGCCACGAAAAGCCAAATTTTAGTTAAAAGACAAATTGCTTGTTTTTGAATGTGAAGTTTAGGGAACCTCGTCAGAGTTTTCTCCGGCGCATTATAGCGACCAACAGTTGGAAGCCGGACATCTTGTTGTGGAGGCTGCTGGGTGTGACCGACAGGTTGCGGCTCTTTAGTATGTTTCATATTGTGAGCAACTGGAGGTAAACTCTGTTTCCCAGATATCAAACCGTTCCGATCAACCTCTGGCAATTGCATATAGGGAACTGGGGTTGCTGTTTCCTGAGTCCCTATTTGTGCTATATCGGTTTGGGATAGGTGTGTGTGAGGTTGCGGTCTCGAGGGTCTTTCCGAGCTTCTGTGGCGGATAGCCTTGGTAATACTACCCTCCCTCTTGTGCAACTTTTGCGGTTGACGGCCATCTTTGCGACGAAGGGAACCCCTTCTAGTCCCGGCAGTCTGAGGCCTCTCCTTCGGCCCGTTGATGTTTTCGTCGGTGACTTGAATCGCTGGAGGCGGACCATCCACCGAGAGCTCCGAAACTGATGGTATCCTGGGTGTAGCACTGCCATCCATACCAAAGTCATACTCATGGTCCTCCCTATGCGGCTTTTTTCGACCAAACAAACTTCCCCGAAAGCTGCGGACTCCGCCTGAGGTTTTCGGAGGGGAAAGGTGCTCCGTTCCTTGTTTCTCTGGCTCCGGAAAGCCTATGCTTTCGAATAGGCGACGAAAGAGGGCAAGTAGCTCTTCAGCATGGTTAACAGCGGCTTCAGGTCCGTGTAAGACCTCGATCAGGGAAAGCTGCGTCATTCGTAACTCAAGGATGCTTTCTTTCTTGCGAATCTCCATATCCTCAAATGCCGCGTTGTTATGGCTGTGTTCAGTGTCTGTTGACAAGGAAGCCAACTGTAACCTTTTGCCTTGAGTACCTCCAATTGTCACAGTGTCAAGTACTGCCTCACAAACGTGACTTGCTGTCTCAAACTCCTCCCGAGCACTTAGGAGAAGGGCAAGCAAATGCCATAAAGACACAAGATCTCTCTCGCCAGTATACGACAGTAGCCCTGAGCCCTGAATCCCATACCCCATTACGTCTGCCGAGCTTAACGCAAGTCGAACACGATCGATAGCGCTGTCCAAATCCCTAGTCTCTGCAAGGACTAAGCCCAATGCAAAAATAGAAGCTGGATTCATGTCCTGGCCGAGATCCTCTGACAAAGATGCTTCCAAGGACGATATAGCTGAGGCTTGGAAGTCACGTCGAGATTCCGTTACGGCTGTCCATCTAGACCAATTTGCTAATCCAATCCCAACAGCCCGGTATGCAATCGCAAGCGTCCCTGGCGCAAATCGGGTGTTTTTTGGCGAGCTAGTCCCATTCGACTGTGAAGAGGGACACTTGTCGCCGTTCTCTTCAGTTAGCGTTATTTCAAGCAGATCGGTCAACTGCTTTGCTTTTTCGGCCTTTGGATAAGTACCAAAGCAGCACACTAACATGATTCCCTCTGACAAGGTGCGAACGAAAGTGTCATCATCCTCAATCTCTCCCATTGATTTACCTGCTTGTTTGGCTCGGGTTTTAGCAGTTTCAACAAGATCGATGTATGTATCGAGAGCTTTCAAGGCAAGATCAAATTCGGCTACTGCTGAGTGGATTTGGAAAAGCCGCCGTAATATCAACGTAGAATGGAAAGTCTTCGTTGCTGCCCGGTAAAGAATCTGATTTCACGATTAGAGCTTCCTCAGAAATATACAAAACATCAATTCCAAGGATACAACTCACGTCAAGAACATTGCGCGACAACGCATCCCGTCCACCTTCACCGAAATCCGCATCAGACCATCCAGATCCGCACAGAATCTGCCAGTTTCCAATGACCTGCTCTATCCATTGCTCAATTTCTTTGTTCGAAGCATCGGCTTTGGGAAATTTCGCAATTTTGAGTAAGGCATTCTCATATATTGCTTCCACGCGCCGAAACTCAGATGCAAGTTGAGGCCGGATTGGTCCCTCTGATGGGGCAGAGTAGGGTAGTTTCTGCTGCAGTATTTGGGAGAGAAGATTGTGATAAGCCCGCCAAATTGAAAATCTAGAGTCCGGACTGGCGGACGCGCTAGAAGTATCCATCGTAGACGCCGGATCGCTTCGTTTCACTTCAGGGTGCGATGCCCAAGCCCGAAATGACTTCAACGTGAATTCGACGGTGGATTCGCTCACCAGCGAGCCTTCGGCCAGAACGGACTCGCACCCAAACAAGCACGTCTTTGCTAAAAGCCGCTCCGACCAAAACATGTATTCGGGGTTCGATGTAGCATTGGATGGGAGCCAGGAAACCCGCGCGACTATTGGTTTCATTATCTTCACAGCGTCTCCAGATCCGGATAGTAATTCCTCGGCAACACCTTGAAAACCCATATATATCAGGGACCTGTTAGTAGGCAAGAGATAGATTCGTACCTTTCATAAAGCCACCTTTGACGATGCAAACCTCAGTCCATGGCGTCAATACCTCCCCACTGCCGGAGAGTAAATTGACGGTATAATTCAAATCCCTGGGTAAAGAAGAAGTGGCCAACGCCGGCTCTGAGAACTCCCAATGCAACCAGCCTAAGCAGACTTGCGCCTGAAAGACAAGTTGCGTATCGCGGTCCTGCGCTTCCTCAATCACGGACGACAATGAAGGTACTAGGTCGATTATGTGCGACCCATTCTGGGTGGTTGGCGGAGAGCCATGTGCATGCCTCTTGGCTAAAAATCTCGCGATTTCACATTCGGCGTGAGCTACCTTTATCAAACCTATATGAGGAATATCTGGCGTTAAGATGGCGGTCAAACAACGGGACGACGTGGAGCTCCTCACATTTCTTTTCGGGGGCGTGCTTCGATATCTTTCGAAGGATATCAGGGACCTCGTGCCAGTTTCCATTGCACCTTGCCGTATCTAATAGCTCGACATAACGACGACCTTTGCTAACGACCTATGCTCAAGCCATTTCGTCAGCAGCCCAGTCACGGATGATAGTACATAACCATTGGAGGGAGACACCTACCGTCATGGTTTCTCATATATGACACGACATATGAGTGACAATGTTGCAAAGCAAGCATTTTAGGGGAATCTCTCGGTGCTCGTCATGTTGATCGTCATTGTTCGTTTTCAAAGAGTTGCCAGAGCTGGCTGTTGGACGCGCTAAATCGTCCAAAAATAAATTTCCACACCAACGATCTTTCATCCAAGCCAGAGAGCAATTCAGGCAACGACAGAGAATGGCTGCATTGATGCTCAAGGGATCTTGTCCGACTCTTTGAGATCATTTTTACAATCCCTCAGCCAATTCTAGCCGCATCCACGATTGATACCAGCTCCTCCGCATCAACAATGGCTTCTACTATGGCTCTCCGGGCAGCCACCCACCGATTGACGACGACGCCGGTTGAAGAGCTGCCTTCAGCGGCGGCATATTTGGCGTCAACCTTATGCGAAAGTAGCTCTATTTTGTCTGCGCCGGAAAACCAGCGAAAGGTGGCGGGCGCACCCGATGCTGCACTGCTTGTGACAAAATTGAAGGCTCGCATTACCAGCTTGCTTCAGGACAAAAGCATTGAAGGACGATGGACCGCAATTATACTAGTCAAAGCGGCGATAGAGGCTGGTAAATGGGAAATACTGCGTGGTTGCGAGCCTTGGGTTCGTGCGCTTTTGGCCATTCTGGGGGTGAGTCTTTCTATCAAGTATCACTCTTTGCAGCCTGGGAGTCATGTCAATAACGAATATTTATCTGCAGAAACCGGATCCTTTGTCGTCCAAAAAGCTGTCTCTCGTTACCCTAACGCGGATCTTTCAGCTTACTCGCCAATATCCGACCTTAACACGAGAAATCACCACTCCTTCACTACCAGCATTTATAACTGCGTGTTTAAACCTGATATCCAGCAAATCGGCATCAGATAGTCGAAGGAAGCTGAAAAGAAACAGCTCTTTAGTTGCGTCTGTCTTTAGTTCTTTCTTGGAGCTACTTCCAAACCATCCCACGATATTCCGACCGTTCTCCGCGCAAATACACGATTTACTCCTGCCGTTAATTGGATCCATTGGCTCAGCTGATTTCGTTTCTGAACCTCCTGTTTTGATTGCCCAACGATTGCTTGTGGCGCTGCATCATTGCGCTCCAAAAAATACGGCCGGCGAGGAATGGTTCAAAGGATACCGGTCAACCATCTTGTCCGCTCATCATGCAGGAGACCATCTATTCCGAGGAATCAAGGAACAGTGGGAGTCTGCGGATGCCGAACTACGCCACTCCTCGAAGTCCAAAGACTACAGTACCCCGGTTGGTGATGATGGTCAAGACCCCCTTGGTCTACAGCCGTGGAATGGCATTCAAGAAGGGAGCGGCCGCCTTGTCAGTTTGCTAGGGTTACTGTCACAGTTCCTCTCATGTCCTTCGCATTCAAGCGTATCGATCCCTATTGGCTCTACTCTTGATCTAACGTCCCGGCTAGCTTCGCTTCATGTTCCGGCCTCAGAAGGTGAGGCTGAAAACTCGCGTATGATCAACCGAGAAGTTAGCCGGTCTGAGAGAGAAAGCCTGTTCAGCGAGCTGCCAGCGATCTATATCTCCACGTTGAATTTGCTCACCGCAATAATCAAATCATTTGGGACCGGAAGTGTTTCCATAGCTCAAAGCTGCCTTGATCAGGCGCTTTGTATTTTCGACAATGCAAAAGAAAGCAAAACTGTCCGGACGGCAGCCTATCGGTGTATCAACACCATCTTACCCGTTATTGGATGTACATCTACCAAACAAGGAGTGTCGCTGTTAACTCCGGCGATACGGCTGGCATGCGCTGACCTGCTGCCTCAAGCTCAGGACAACACGCCAACAGAACAGAATCCTAAAGCCAAGGGAAATCAAACCGTAATCAACGCAGACGCTTTTTTGGGCACAAGTGCTAGGTCTACAAAAGTAGACACTAGCTCATCGGGCTTTCAGGACGTTCAAGCCATCGCCTGCCAAACACTGGTCAATACCCTTGCATACTTGCCGACCGAACTAATTCCGTTATCGTTACGTGCAGAAATTGATCGTACTGCAATCCTTACTGGGAATGCGAAACTTATGATGGCGAGTATACTTAATCCTATCCCATCTACCAACAACCAACCCGGCCATGCGAGCATCCTGCCGTTCCTCGCTAGGAATAACAAAATCGACCTGGAGGTAGAAGGTTTACTAAGACCACGGATGCCTGTTCTCACGACTGGCGCAGGAAAACGCAAATTCGATTTCGCAATCCAACAGAACGAGAGCGATGTAGAGGAAGCTTTTAATACGGCAAACCGTGATACAATTCAACGACCAGTTCTAGCAACAGAGAACACTGTACTAGCAGACTTGGCCCCCAAACCAATGGATATCGACACTGCAGGGCTAGACAGCAGAGGAACCAAGAGGAGCCGTGAAACTGACAGCGAGCCTCAGCAAGCAACCGCACCAGTTATTATTTCTTCTCCAGGTAAAAAAGCCCGCGCGGATATGGAAACACCGATTATCGACACTTTGCAGGAAGAATCATTGCACCAACGAGCTGCATCGGTAGAAATGCCCTACGCTGGAGAATTATTGAGTCATAAATCAGTCGTTCCAAAACCGGGCGAGGATATCTCAGAACCATTGGAACCAACGGTCAGCCAAGGCTTTTTCCAGGCCAGCACCAGCGTGTTGGTGCAAAAGGATATTGTCGCTGTGAATGAAGATGAAGAAATGTCGAGCGGCGATGAGATTCCACAACTTAATATTGAGCCAGATACAGATGAGGAGGATGACATTTCTATGCAATAAGGCTCAATATGCTGTGTGAATTTGTGTATCATGAGAGAAATTTTAGCCCCCAATGGTCTTAATCTCAAAAAGTTCCGAAAGCCCTGTATCCTCATAATATACATCTAATCTATCTATTTGCCTTGAGAAAACTCCGCAAGAACGAGACAATAGATGGCTATGGCCAATAAAATCTGCAAAGACTACATTTAAAATATCTCAACCCCTCGCTGCCACCATTTCTCGCCTTTCCACAATCCAAACCATTTGCCATGCCAACACCACCATCCCTCCCCTACAGCCCCAAATCCCAATCCTCGAATGGGGCTGACTGGAACAGGCTCGAACAACCAAACACCCCCTTTAGCAAAGTCGTCCGCCACAAGGTGACCGGTTAACAAGATCCAGAAAATGAAGAATGCGAGGTTGGACCACCGCCTCAGCCACCTGGGGAGCGCAAACGGTAAATGTGCGCAAATCTCCCCCGCAAGTTGCTGTATCAGTATGCCCGGAACCTGAACGACGAAAAAGGAAAACGGTCCCCAGGGACGTGTAGTTCCGAGCTGAGTATAGCTTCCGCAGGCGTGAATCAATCCGCTCAAAGCAAAAGCAACGATTGCGCGCAAGAGCGGGAAATAAGGTTTTTTTCGAAGGAAATGTGGTAGATATGGGAACACCCACGCGGTGGGCGACACAAATGCGAACCGGAAGACTTGGTGCCACCATTTACTCCAGGCGCCAGCTAAACCTTTGTCGAGTACGGAGGAAAGAAACGGGCCGAAGAGGTTAGGATAGAGCCATGGGGCATCGATTGGGACCCTGACGCAACTGCGTGGGCCACAGGACAGAGAGATAAGCAGATAAATAATGCACAAGCAACCGTAATATACCATCAGTGCTGAGACTATACCGAGGCATATGAGAAGGTAGTGGTATGCAAGGGCGGGTATGCCTGCATATTGGCCAAGAGGCGCAAAGAACGCAGGAGGTGGTGAGTCTAGAACTCCCCAGAAATATGGATCTTGCATTACAAGTACTTTGATAAGATCCAGCCTCAAATAGTGGATGGCCGTGGTCGTTAGCATAGCCTTGAGAGCGGATTTCGTTGCAGATTTGTCCGGCGCAGGTGCCACGTTTGGATTACTCCAGTTCCACCCGGGGCCTCGAAAGGAAAACGTGGAGATGTCGAGAACCCAGGCTAGGCGGTGCGAAAAAGTTTTCGGGAATGGCTGCCATCGATAATATGTTGTGTAATGAGTGCGGCCAGGTTCCTTGACGGGAGACGTTCCCGAGTTGTTCATATCTCGATCCGAGGAGCGTCGACGGGCTGGTGTTCCGTTCAGCTGACCGTGAAGATGTCCCAATCCTGTCCTTTCCTCAGGCCCATCTCTGTTTACTACAGAGTCAACGCCATTTAGTTTGGTCTCGCAGATGGTGGTGTCTTTTTCTATCCTCTTAAACTTCCCCTGAACGTCGTTGAACACAAGGAGGGTTGCGCTCCAAATGGTATGCCAGATAAAGGCCAAACCAACACCGTAGCCGTTCGCCATAGCGCGAGAACGACATTTGCGGATGGTCAAGATATTCAAATACAAGACCAGACAAAATGAGAGCTGCCTGGCGTACTTGAACGCACCCTGGCGAGGCCATGGCACCAGTAACACCCCAACAGTAACGAAGAGGGAGACGAAATCATGGGGGAATATCAGGGGCGAGATCTGTCCGTCCTGCAGACGAGCGTTGAATTCCTGCTCCCGTGCCGCCAATATGGCACGGTATCCTGATGGAACGGGGGACTGTTCCATGTGTAGCCGCGAGAGAACAGAGGGAATAGGCTTATCTACTCCGTAGCAAAGTATTCATCCAGGCTCCGAAGATGGGTTGCTCTCGCGTTTGCCCTCGTCTAACTGCGATTCTGATCACAGCCGATTCAAAAAAAAATGTGCGAGAGGCGTTGAGTGTGGCTGACTGATTGGCCGGCGGATCGCATTCATCGTGGCACGCCCAAGTGAATTGGTCAATCTGCAATCCTCCGCATGAAGAAATTTGCTGTAGGCTCGAGCCCGGGTCAAAGTCGCTGTTGGCTCGGAAAAGACCGATCGCTGAGATGCTCGCCTCGTCGCTGCGCTTTCATCTCCTTCACCGTCTATGCCTTCGTTGGATCACTGCAGGTGGCATCTCTCAGCTCCAGGTTCCCGGTTGACTCATGTGTAACTACGCGCGATGGCAAGGGTTTACTCAGGATGACGAATATTTAGCCACCCTGTTGATGGTGCTGGTGTCTCGGCGCCAGTCTCACGCGCAGACAGTCAGCGTCCCTGGGTGGAAACGCGATATTTTGAAGGAAGAGTCCATTGAATATGAAGAACTGTTCAATTGGCCGTGGGAAGAGGCATGCTTTGCAGAAACTGATAAAGAGGCGGCCTCTTCGTGCTTCCACAGTTTCTCAATTTTATCTCAGCAGATAGAAGTAATTCTACTGCTTCTTTTCTCTGTTTTATATCCATTTCCACCGTCTCGAGGATTCATCATGGCGTTTGGAAGCGATGTATCCGTCAATGCCTCCAAGTTCCAGCCATGTGCGATTCCCGCCGCATCGCATGAATTCAACAAGCAGATAATGAGCATGCTAGATGGCCATCCGAAATGGTGGCAGGTAGAAATGCGCTCATGCTCTTCGCTAGTCGTTTTCACTAACCATGGCCATGCAAGACCGGTGCCGAAGCGTTTAGAGAAATGATACGCCGCGGCGAGACTGCATTTCCTATACCACCCAAGCTTGATTGCGGCCAATCTTTTATGATCCCTTCTCGTGAAGCAGGCCGCAATATTCCATGCAGGGTCATCAAACCGAGCGGGGACTCTACGCCGTCAGGTGTCTTCCTCCACTTTCATGGAAGCGGATGGGTCTTATCAGATGAATTGTCGTAAGGCTATCAGTCCACAGACAGCCTCACATGCGTGCAACAATTGACAATGCTTCTCTCAGTCAAGACCCCCTATTGAAACATTATGCGGATGCCGCCAACCTCGTGTCGATATCAATCGCGTATCGGCTTGCACCTGAGCATCCGTTTCCTGCTGCGCCTGAAGATTGCTATGATGCTGCGGAATGGCTTGTGGACAATGCCGAAAAGGCGTTTGGTGCGCCCTTGCAGTTCATCGGAGGAGAGGTAACGTTTATCTTCAGCTAGACGGTCTATATACAAAACACTGAAAATGTGCCTGACTTTGGAATTAGTCTGCGGGAGGCCACCTCTCCGCCCTAGCAGTTCTTCACCTCCTTAGCCACCAGGATCCAAAATATTCAGACTTCAAACTACGTGGCCTACTTGTCCATTATGGCGCATTCGATCTCTCCTACACTCCCACAATGTTTACCTATCAACGGAGCCCATCACTCGTTCTCGATCGAGAGACCATGTCTCAATTTACCGTAAATATACACCTCTTCCCCCAATGAACCGGAGCTAATAACTTCCCTTACAGGACGCTTTCGTCCCCGATCCTACACTTGACCGCAAACACCCTTCCATCTCCCCATTATATTTCAACTTTCGGTCCCTCACCGAGTCAGGTAAATCCCTTCCGCCAGCGCTATTCACTTGCGGGACCGAGGATATCCTACTCGACGATACCGTCTTCATGACTGTAAAATGGCAGATGGCTGGCGGGGAGGCAGTGGCGAGAATCGTTCCCGGAGCGCCCCATGGGTTTATCGGGTTTCCGCCAGCAGTGGTACCTGGAGTCCAGGATACTCTAGATCTGGCAGCGAAGTTTTTGAAAGATAAAACTGGCAGATTCGCATGATTAAGCTGAGCTGCATATGCAATTATAGACCTTTCCCTGCCTTGTAGTATATACGTCAAAATGAATTCTAGACTAAAGAACAGGACTTCAAGCGATCTATTTAGACCAGGAACATCTGTAAATCCTTGCCTGGGCTCCTGACCGATTGCTTATACCGTAACAAATGTTCAGGGTATTTTAAATTCAGCATTAGAAGGAGAAGTATGCTTTAACCTCTGGATTAAAATTTCCATTGTCCTTCCCCTTCCTTCTCCTTCAACACCGTCACTAAAAAAATGCAGGGCGTGAAAAAGACCGGGAGCACTGATGATGAGCAAACCACAAAATCAGAGTCTTTCAACTTGGTAAAAGAAATAAAGTAAAAAAAAAAAAAAAAAAAAAAAAAAATTGAATTTTCAATAGAGATTGTTGCAAGGCCGCAGCCGAAATGAGACCCTGGGTTTTGGGGTACGAGAGCTGAGAGCGGGCGGGATTACTGCGTGGCACAACGGGTTGGATTCTCCTCGACAATGGGAGTTTTTGGCGAGCTGCCAGCCGAGTTGGCACTTGACTCAGAGGTGCCTGTGCTGTCTCGGTCGTCTGCTCCGTCGAAATTACCCGAAGGTCTTTTCGCTGGAGACGGATTCACGGGGTTTTTGGATGAGTCTCCCGGTTTGGTGGGTTGAGACGCAATTTTTGAGGTTGCCGCAGAGGCTATTGCTGGCCTGCTCGGTGCGCTCGATGGAGGAGCGGTGGAAGGTTGTACCGGTATGTTGGAACTTGTACGGACGGCATCGTTAACTGGTAATGTTGTAGATGGATTCGAGGATCCACCCGAAGGATTAGCGAGTACATGATTAGTCGCGTTTGGTATTGGCTGTGTAGAAGCCGTAGTAACGGGTACATCGGTAAGCTTGGCCGGTGAAGGATGGTGGACGGAGCCCGGGATATTTGCAGCTAAAGGTCTAGGAGGCACGCTGACAGAGGGTGATGTAGTGTTATGCGCTAGATTAGCCATGTTTGTCATCACGGGTGGCGCGGGCATGCTAGAAGATGTAGGCGGTACACTAGGACCTGCAAGGGCATCCGTCGTGAATGACGCATAGGTTGCTGTCCGGCCATTGGGTGGTTGCGAAGACAGAGCTGCGTATAAACTGGTATCAGGCTGAAGAGGAGGCGGCCCAGAGCCTGCAGGCTGAGACCGTAACTGAGCGGCCAATGGACTTGGAGCACCAAAAACAATATTAGGGTCCGTGTTGAGACCACGATGGAATACTGGGCCAGGCATGGGATATCCCCCTGATGTAGGCGGCATTGGGACCCTGGGTGGCGGCTGGGAGAAGAGCACGTTGTTAATGTACCGATACGGCTGTTCCATCGCCAATCTCGAGTCCTGTTGCTTCAGTCTCTCAGCTTCCTTTCGCGCCCAGGCCTCTGGGTCATTACGCTTTAGTCTTTCATCGTCAAGTTCAGCTTGAACAGCTTGCTCCTCTTCTGGTGTGAGTGCATCATTATCTTCACGCTGGAAAGTTTCAGTGAGCGCGATTTCTCGAGCAAAATTAGGTCGTTGTAAAATCTTGTCGAGAACCTTGGGGTCTTTTCCTTTAAATTCGGAGAGATCTCGCTGCTTCACTTCTTTCGGCGGAAAAAGATATGCTTTCTTAGACTTGGAGGCATATCTTATCGGGTTCTTTTTGTCAATCACCCGGAAAGAAAGCTGGGTTTTGAAGACAGTCCTGTTATACATCGCATCTTCGTATGTGCCCCCGGAGACGAAACGATAAACAAACACGGGTTTCGTCTGTCCAAACCGATAGGCTCGTCCAACTGCTTGTTCCTCCCAAGTGGGATTGAATGCGAAATCAAAGATAATCACGCGATTGGCGCCGGGGATATTGAGACCCAAACCGCCCGCTTTCGTGGAAATAAGATAAACCTGCATCGGAGAATCGGTCCTGTTGAAATATTTTGTGGCCACCTGCCGGCTCGAAATCGGCGTCGTTCCATCCAGACGACAATATGTCCAACCGTTCTGCTTCAGGATGTGTTCAAGATAGTTGAGAGTGGGAATGCTATGAGAGAAAACCAGGACCTTATCGCCGGCGCTGACTGATTCTTTGACAATCTGCTCAAGCATCGTCGCACGATGCGAAAGCGCCGTAGACTTCAGATCGCTTATTCCTTCAAAAACACGCTGGACCTCTTTGATAACTTCCGGGCCCAAAGTCTGGCTGTCAGTTATGTCATCGATAACGCTTTCATTTTCCGAATCCTGCAGCACACCTTGCTGCTTTTTATCGCGGTTCTTCTTCAGTATCTTTTCCATGAAGCACGACGGATGATTGCAAAGAAGCGATAGTATCGCGAGCCAAGCCCACAAACGCGCGTTGGGCACGTCGTCTTTTCCGGTTGACAAAGTCGCGACGTAGATTTTATACGCCTCTTCCTGAATGGCAGTCAGGGGCAGAGTGATGACAAATTCCACTTTCGGAGGAAGATCGCCTTTCAAAACTGAAATGTCGGCACGGTTCACTTTCGGATCCAGGTCTTTTTTCAGTACTTGGAGCCTCTTTAAAGATTCCCGACGTTCAGCCCGTGTGCTTTCGCGATACAGACCCGCCTCGATGGGTTCAACATATTTCGCTTTGAACTGCACAAAGTCGCCCAGGTACCCAGGAGCAATCCAATTGATCATTGAGTAGTATTCTTCAAGATGATTTGCGAGCGGAGAACCTGTAAGGGCAATTCGACTTTTTGATTTGAAGCCGCTCGCTGCTTCGGCGATTCCGGTGTTTCGATTTTTCATCTTGTGTGCTTCGTCGGCAACGATGATATTCGGCCCATCAAGGAGCTGCTTCTTGATTGTCTCATGGACCTTCGCACCAAGAGAAGAACCCCGGCTTTTGGTTGCTCGGTTAAGAATGAAAGCTCTGAAAATATCATAGCTCAAAAGGAGAACACCGCCTTCGGAATGCCATGCTGCGATCTCCTTCAATCGCTCCCAAGGCTCCATTGACTGCAAAATCTTTCTGATCGGGCCGAGATTGCTCACTGACTCCGGGTCTCCTGGTCTCCACATTAGGAATTCCTCCCACCAATTCTCGATTAAAGATGATGGGCACAAGATGAGCGTGCGGGACTCGCGAAAAGTATCTGGGATTTGTTTCCGGAGTTCGGGATCTTGTGAATTTGCCACATTTGCGATAGTCACTAGCAACGAGATACTGTATAGAATCAGCAACGGGAGCATTGAAGCCCAAACATAACCACTAATACTTACACCTGCATTGTTTTGCCCAACCCCATGGTATGGGCAAGAAGGCAACCTTGACGCTTTTCATCTTTGATTAACTCTCTCCACATGAATTGCATTCCATGTAGCTGGTGCTGCTTGACGCGACGACCAATGTGAGGATCCAGATAAATTACAGGCTCGTCGAAGCTGATAGCTTGTCGAATCGGGTCACTATTTGCCACTCCTGAGTTTTGAAACCTCTTCAGCAGGCGTTGCTGCTGCTCCTCTTGAAGCTGAACTCGGCGTTGTGCTAGTTTCTGAGCATTTATCGCCTCCTGGCTTTGTTTTACAGCACGTTTTCTTTTCCTATGAGGCGTACGCACAAAGTCCGATAAAGCATCCGCTTCCTCATCAGCAGATTTGCTCGACATGTCGGAGTCCGTGTTCGATTCCGCGGTGTCCTCTACGGAAGATTTCTTGCTCTTCTTTCGCGCCCTGGGCCTCTTTTCTGCATATGTCCGAACAACATCGGCAAGAATAGGAAGAAACTGTCGGATCTTTTTCTTCTGCAGTGCATATTCGATGGCCTGTTTGTTTATGCGATCCTGATCGGATATTCTTTTGCGTGAGACCCATGATATGTAGCATATCGCCATTCTCATATACAGCCTGGAATGTTCGTTACTGTGACCAGGAATCGTGGTCTCATGTTGCGACATGTTCCGCAGGCCCCTGCACATGACATCTTTCAAATGGCCAAAAGATTTCGTGTTGAAAATCTTTTTGATGCCCTCTCGGTCTTTGTCGCCCATTTGGTGAACGTAATATACAATCAAGTGAGTGGGGTGCTTCTCAAGCTCTGCGACCGAGGATTCTAAAATCTGGGCAAAATCCAAATCAGCGACGTTGGTCGACGCGCCGGGTGTGACAGAGGGGCTCTTTGGAGGCTCGAAATCACCAAGAATATGCGAGGACGAAGAATTCCGTGGCTTGCTATTCAACGGCGGCGTACGCACGTTAAAGGTCTCCCGTCTCTCGTTACCAAGGCTAGCATCCCCGTCTTCACTATCGGTCCGTGTAAGATCTACAACATCAATTTCAACTGGCTTTCGTGAATTCTTGTTTGAGGAGGGCGCTGCGTGACTTTTCCGAGCAGGTTTTCGCGCATCCTGGCGGCCTCGTCGAGATTTTCTCTTCTTCCTTGCGGAAACAACTTCATCTTCGTCGGATTCTTCAACAGTAGGGAGGAGGCTTGGAGGAAGTTCGTCCACAAAGCCTTTGCTGGGGATTGTAGGGTCTTCGTCGGGGACAATGAAATCATCTGTGTCATTGCCGCTATTATCGGTATCAGAGCCCAATGACTCTTCATCGTCCGGCAATTGAATGGACCGCAAGGGTTTTGGCTGCGAAAAGTTCGGTCCGGGCACCTTCAGCGGACACTTCTCACGCTCTAAGACCTCAATGATCCATTTATGGTGCTCTCGTTCAAAAACCGTTTGCTCCATGGATTGGCATTGCATCCGTACATCCTTGGCTTGAGACCAGGGTGTCACTTTTATGGCTTTCCGGAGTTCTTTCAGACGGCTGTCCATGTGGGCAATTTGATTAGAAGCAGCTTTGATATCTGCTAGCCGGGTTTGTTTTGCCCTGGCACGTCGCCATATCCGTCTTGCCTTGCGCTCCTCGATTGGACGCTTTCGGGATTGCCATTTACCTACGAAATCTGCAATACAGGAGTCAATAATGGAGTCAACATCCGTCTGTGACAAGAATTTCGAGGCCTGTGGACCAGCAACGTTTGTTTGCTCATGCTCCTCTTGTATCTCCTTCCAAGTTTCGGAATCATAATCTCCTTCGGAGGCAGACTCGCCATATACCGGCAACGCATCGTGTTCGCCTTTAGGTGGATATTTGGTAAGTAAGTAATGCAGTTCATCATCTCCAGTAACGAATTCGGGCCAATCAGAGACATTTTCCCTAGTGACATTGACCTTTTTTCCATCTTTAATAAACAAGGAAAAAAATCGGGGGTCTTCCCGTGATAACGATGTGCCGTCGTAAGGAAATACAGCAATAGCAGGCTTGCCCTCCTTGGTTTTGAAGTACTGAGGCCTCTGGCGAAAATAGTATCGCATCCTCTGATTCAGGACATGGCGATAGCCTATGGGACACGAATCCGAACCCTCTATGATGAATGTATCTTCCTCGCTGTCACCTCCATCGCCCATAGTATCATCGTAGAAGATCGTTGAAATGGCCTTTTTTCTGTCAAGATAGCGTCTCGGGCGTGTTTGAGGCTTTTCAGAACGCGTCGTTAGGGAGGTAAGTTCTAACCTCCGCCGCTTTTTCCCATCCTTATCTGTCACATAATGTTCGCCACGGCGTCTTTTTGTTTCACTATGACTCCCCACGATATCGGGAAGCAGCTTCGGACCGGGAGGGGTTGGATTCTCTGCCGGTGCCGTGGCACCGACTGGTCTGTCAGGTGAGGGTTGAGCAAAAGCTCGCTCGCTGCTGTCGATTGACGTGTCAACAGGTGCTGGAGTGTTTTGCTGGGAGGAAGCAATCCCGAAGGACGCCGCTCGCTGCAAATATTCATGTGAATGAACCGCCGCATTTGGGGTTCGGAAAAGGTGCGGAGAGCCCAACGGTGCAGGACTAGCGATGGAGGCGTAATTCTCCGGCTTGATATCTGCAGAGGTTAAGTGGCCAGCATAATCTCTGTAGCCCCGCGATAGTCCTTGCAAGTATTGGACGGCCTGAGCAATCGTTGCGCGTTGGCCCAGCGACTTTATCCCAAAATCCTCAGCCAGTGTCTGTTTGTTGATTTCAGTCAGTAGAACATGACCGGTAATGTCGTTTTCGCGTAAAGTCCTTTCTAAGAACACCGGATTCGGGCGCGGCGGAGGGACTTTGGAGCGACTCCAAGCATCAAATGAGCCATGACAGAGGTATGCCACCACCTCGTCGATCGACCAGTCGAACGGATCCCTGTCTTCCAGCAGACCCTCCTCCATGAGCAAATATCTTATATGTCAGCTAGACCGGAGGCATTTCAACGCATCACGTTCCTTATCAGCCGGGCGGGCGTCGGCACGAAAAGATGGCGAGATGAAGAGAGAGGATGGTGGATTCTGATCGTGAAAATTGAGAGTCAGCAGGCATTGAAAAGAGCAAACGAGCGCGCCAACTAACAGGATGGCTGACCAGACTGCCAACCGCTCACTGAACTGTCCCCCCGCTCCTCCTTGCGCCTTGTCAGTCTCACTTGATTTCAACATTTTGATATACATCCAGACAACGCGCTCACGTGAGTTGGTGGCGATTCACTACTAGTTCCTGCGACGCGGCGACACCCGCGTCTACGCCGTTACCACTCTGTACTCTGTCTCTCAAGAGAATCAAGAATCTTGTCTCTCACCTTTGGAAAACAACCAGAACCTCTGATAAGATGTGCTTTTTCCAGGGAGGTTGCTGCGTAGGATCAAACTGGCTGCACCCTTTGAGCTCAACTGGCGCGAGTTGACAAAAATTGTCATTTTCAGAGGAGAGGTCATTTAAAAGGCGAAGACTAAAACTACTAGAATCATATGATCCCGATTACAGAAATCCATTTCTATCCACGGTGCAGCCGTCCTTCAAAATCTGGTGAGCGCTGGTACTGAAAAGTGCCACTGATAATGGCCCTGGCTCTAGGTTTTTAGCCCAGGCAATTATCTCAGAAGGAGAACAGGAAGAACAAGATTGCTAATACGAATTTGAGTATAGTAGTTACAGCAGCAACTAGCTGTCTGCTCAATTAGAGTGTACATAGAAGCAAGTTGGCAAGCTTGTGCACCAACTTTCCATCTTCTTCGCTCCCTCCACCATGGAAGAGGAAAAGCTTATGGGTTCATACGCAGAGTGGCTGGTATAAAAAGGGCCTGAAAATCCCATGGGCCAGTCATGGTGAAAGTCCAAACTCGAGGTCCATACCCTCAATATCAAGTCTCAGACATCCTAGCAGCTTGTTCTGCAGTTCGAATCCAAAATGGTGTTTGGCTGGGGTATGCTCGCTTTTACTCGGACCCCTTCCACTAGATAAATTCAAGTGCTGACCGAGTATCTTTGCGAAAGGAGAATCCCATGAAGCTCAAAAACAGGTCTATGGCAATGAGCATGATCCCAAATTCTCGCATGAGCTCCTCGCTGGCGCTGCTTCCTTTGAGGGGTTCAAGCTGTTCGAGGACCATCAGCGCAAGAAAGGCAAGTCTACACTTGAGTTTCCATTCAAAAGCATGACTGCTAATGCGGCGTTCCGCGAAGGGAAACAAATGTCCCATCAATTTGCGAAGGAACTGCTAGCCGGCTTTGTTGGAGCCGAAATGGACAAAATGGCCCAGAAGCGGAAGATGGATCCCCAGCAACATGAAGACGCGAGGAGATATGCCCAGTATAATGCGGAGCAGCTGTATGACCAGCACTATGTCCAGGGCCAAGGGGCAGGCCAGTACGATCCGTATCAGTATACCGCACCGCCGCCATTTTGGTAAAAGCAGTCCGTACACACGGTTCCAGTAGATAGGGATAGTCAAAATGTAATCTCGATGGACTTTATACCGCCCTGCGAGCTATCTTTCATCCCTTTCCCTCTTCTTCACTGTTCGGCCTCGCTCCAGCTTAGAAATCGGGGCTGGACCAAGCGGGGTGCTGAATAATCCGCCCCTCGATCGCCTACAAATATCTCAAGGCTTCATCATCTTGCGTTTTGGCGTAAGCATCGGCTTTTTTTATTTTATATTCATTTATTTCTTTATCGATTGCGTGCTAGACTTTGGTTGATTTCCATCTAAACGAGTGAATATTCACTCAAAAACATATAGACTGCAATGGATCAATCCGCATATTCCACTTACCCCCCGGAACTCTCCTCGGAACAAAAGAAATATCTAGTTACCACAGTCAAAGACTGGACGATACAACATGGCTTGGCTGTTAGACCGTCTCCGGATGTAGTATCAAACGCGTCAGATGCCAATTCTGTCCTGGCGACCAATGCGCCTGTGACTTTGTTCCCTAGTCTCTTCCCAAAATCCTGCTATGACTCTGCGGTTTCGGTACAGACCGTTTATAACGAATTGTATGCTGCAATCACTGCCGATGAAGCCTGGCTAGGAGAGATTATTGAAAAGTAAGCTGGTTCCCCGTTCTAGATGAGCGCCATGTGCTAATTACATACCTAGCCTCGTCGACGTCGACGATTTTGTTGCCAATTTATGGAAAGTCCACAAGGCGGTGAAACAAGAGGGTTATGTCCAATCGCTATCGGTAGGCCTTTTCAGGTCAGACTATATGCTCCATACCCCAGAGGGAAGCAATGAACAATCTCTCAAACAAGTGGAGTTCAACACCATCTCGTCTTCGTTTGGCGGGCTATCATGCCTCGTGAGCAGAATGCACTCGAATCTTTTATCTTCTCCACCGGGAACTCCAATTGCATATCCATCGCACCAATCCCTGAAAGAGGGTGCTATTCCAGAAAATACAGCTATTGTGACCCTGGCAGCGGGGCTTGCTGCCGCCCATGAAGCATACGGAAGCTCCAAGTCATCCTCACCACTCCCGCTGTGCATCCTCTTTATTGTCCAGGATGGAGAACGAAATTTGTTCGACCAGCTCGAACTCTCAAGTCGTCTTACTGAGTTTCACAAGATACCCGTATTTCGCGTAATCAGCTCAGACGTCCTCAGGTTGACCGCTATTCCCCAGGGAAACCACTCTCGCCCACTAATATACACGCCACCGCATGCTCCTTCGGTCCAGTTTGAAGCAACCACCATCTATCTTCGAAGTTTCTACGGACCAAAAGACTACCCAGATGAAAGCGCATGGCAGGCGCGTGCACATCTCGAACGCTCAGCAGCAATCAAATGCCCGACGATCCTCAATCAATTGTCGGGATGCAAAAAGGTCCAACAAGTGCTCGCTCAGCCCACCGGGCCTGACCATTTGTCTCGATTCCTTCCCCATATCGACCCCCAAATCATCAAGCAGTTGCGCGATACATTTGCGCCACAATACGATCTCTCCTCTCCCGGTCAAGGAAGAGACCTTGCCCTCAACCCAACGACCGCAGCAACTCACGTCCTCAAGCCCCAGCGTGAAGGCGGCGGGAACAACATCTACCGCAATGCTATTCCCGGATATCTGCGGTCCATGCCCGAAAGGGACTGGAAAGGGTGGATTTTAATGGAGCTCATCCAGCCACCAAATTCAACAAGGAACATTGCACTCCGTAGCGATGGTGAGGTGCTGACAGGCAATGTTGTTGGCGAACTGGGTATTTTTGGGACAATACTATGGGACAATGCTAATGGAAAGGTCTTGCGAAATGAACAGGGAGGCTGGTTGATGAGGACCAAGGCCCAGGATAGTGATGAGGGAGGTGTTGCGGCGGGCTTTTCTTCGCTCGATAGTATCCTCCTTATTTAGGGATGATTAAGGGAAACTGGAGGGCATAAGCTGTAAAACAAGTAAAGGATGAGAACGGAAAGCAGCGCATTTGAAGACCTGCTGGCATTGGATCTATCTACGAGTAAAACCTAAATAAGTTCAAGCTGCTAGGGATACAATCTCTGGGGCAGTAAGAATATCAAAGAAGATAAAATAAACAAAGAACAAGATCGAAAAAAAAATACAAGAAGGCCCTGAGGCTCGCACATCTAAAGTCATAAGTCATAATTGGTAAGAATAATGGGTCAGAAGAGAATAGTCATAAGGGAAGGCTTAAAAGCTAGCACCTCTCTTTGCCGCACGCTGGAACAGCAATAAACCAGAGATAAACAAGCACAAAACACGGGAAGCACCGCGAGCAAGCAAAGAAAACAGGATATGGCTAGGTAATAAGAGCCGGGAATCACCATCCCAAACATGACTGTGAGAGAGGCGAAAAGGCCAAGAAGTATCAACATGCCATAAACAGGGGAAGTAGTAATTCACAAAAAGAAAAGTAAAAATAAACCAAGCAGATCAAGAAAAAATTTGTTCTCTTTCCTTCTTTTCACCCTTGCAGCTTCTGGGGGACATTTAGGGGCAATGTCAAAGCCTTTGGTGAAGATCGTTTGAAACGCTGAGGACGGAGTGAATTATTCGAAAATCGAACCTGTCCTCAAAACGGAAGATCCTCCATAAGGAAATTTTCAAAAGAGCGCTGGGAGGACGAATTTCTTCTGTGCCTTCCCGTCCAAGGGAACGGGTTGTTGCGGCCCATGACCTCGCCAGTGTTCATGTTCAGCTTGTGGTCATGGTGCTGGCGGACCGAGAATCCCATATTGCCGTTGAAGCGATGCGCTGAGGGGCTGTAGTCAGAACTATATGCCGAAGTGTGGTTATGGAAGCCCTCCATTGCGACATTGCCGAAGTGTTGGGTGTAATCGACTTGGTGGTTCTGGATGGGGCAGTCGAACAGAAACGGATGATCGAACAAGGAGTAGTCGATCATTGTGCCTTGAGAGGCGGCGGAAGAGAAGACATCTTGTTGCTGAAAAGTATTGGAAGCAAATAAAAAGGCGTTGTGCATCGCGTTCATGTCAACGCCTTGGGTATCCATTCCGCTGCTTGGAGAGGTCTGCAGCTGATGATATCCCAGAGCTGGAAGTGACTGATAGTCATTGAATGGCGACGAATAGGCGGTCATTTCATCGCCTGTGGCCATATCATACCCTGGGGAGCTATAGTGGTACGTATTGCTTGAGTCTTCAATCGCATTGGAATCAGTAAATAAAGCTAACGTGGTAGCAGTATCCCCAAAAACACTTTGAGGCGTCACCAAACCTTGCGGGGTTTGGGCGCTGGAGGCAGTCGAGAGCCCAGTCTTCTGAGGAGTCTTCCAGCTCATTCGTGACCGGGGTGCTGATTTGGGGGTGGAGAGAACCGATCCGATCACTGATGATTCTTGGCTCTGGCTAGCATTGCCGACTTCGGAATTCCCCTTGCTTTTGGATTTAGCCCACCATTCGGGCAGTTGGCTTTCTGGTAAGTTTCTCCAATCGTCTAAACCGGAATCCATTGCTAAGACTTGCAGCTTGAATAACAGCTCGATGCTCTCATTGAGACGACGTCCCGGGGTATGAGACTCATTGCCGTTATCCAAAAAGGTATCCAACGGATAGTGTTGCGGTGTTGAGTTTGGATAGAAGGATCTTGACTCCAGGACGGCAGGCTGGAGGTCGCAACGAACTTTCAAGGCCGTGTTGTGCATAATGTTCTCAGCAGATAATTGTTCAACACGTTCAACTTCAGCCTTGGTAACACCACCACGACGAGCAGTCCAGCACGACAAACCAAGAGGCTTACGAGCGTCACGTTCACGTCTCATATTAAGGACGTTGTCCGAAGGAAGCTCTTCTTTGGCGACCGGCATCCTAGCTTTGATGTCTCGGTAGGTGAGACGAGTGTCTGATCGCATCCAAAATTCGATGAGCCATCCAGAAGGCTTAACAGAGATATATCGTGGCAAAAACGGAAAGTTTCGCACTGGATTCCCTTGATAATCGAGGACGACCATGCCGTTTTCCACCAAATTTCCAATATACTCCGAATTGTTTCCATTTGGCGGCTCCAACCTGAAAAGGAGGAGAGGAAGATTATCTTCAGTGTACGATGAATGGTACGGGTGGTGGCAGGTATGAAACTTGTCGGGGAGGCCGTCGTCTATAGAAGAGTTAGCGGCAGGCAATACTGGTGAAAAGGGGGTCAGCTACGGAGAAGAAATACTTACGACGGCATTGATAGTTCAATCCCGATGGATCGAAGTTAAAATAAGGTCCGAGGGCTACTCAATTAGCAAAGATGTGCGTACAAGAGGCGAACGGGTCCTTACTCATCAGAGTCAAGTTCTTCTCGGCTACATCTTCAGTAGCTTGAGTCCGATAGGCAACGTTCCCGATAGATTCAGGAGTAGTAAAGCCAGAATACGCAGCCTTTCCTCCGTTCGAAGCTTGGCTAAAGGGGGATGACCCATATTCGGAACCTGAGGGCTCAGACGGCTCCCTGTTCTCCCTCATTGCAGTGCTCATGTTGAGCCACATTCAGGCTGAGAAATAAAAGAACCAATTCAATGCTGTTAAAATGTTGCAGCGAGGTGTTTATCAGTAACAATATTTGCTACTTTAGCAAGGTAAAAATGTTGTATCAGAAAGAAATATTGAGTGTGGAGTAGAGAACAGAGTGATATAATTGTGTCAAAGTGAGAGAGCGAAATTAGCTAGCGAGAAGTTTAGGAACAAAAAAGTTATTGTGGCAGGGGGGCTGGTTAGCGAGCTTGAATTCTGTCGAAAGTGAGATATGGAAAATAGGTGAAGGGACCATATGAGCTAAAAATTGAATGGCTGGGAGAGCTATGGTAATCTCCTTGTTGGATATCATGTGTAGTAGGAGAGTTGCTCCGACAATTCACTTGAGCTACCTTAGTGCCATTAACTGGACATAGCCTGCAGCTAGCTGCCATTTTCCAGGACCTGAAAATACTTGTATAGCTAGAGAAGATCTAATGATGAAGAATACCAGCTGTAGATCATTTTGCCATACAGCTCTGAGGGCCCTTGCGTGGAGATATAGCAATGCTTAAACTCCAGTAAGGTTGCATATAGGGTTATCAGATGGATCCGGAACTGTCATGGAAACCCCATTGTAGGGCACTTAATCTTAACTGATTAAGCTGCATTTTAAAATGGAAAATCAACGAGCTTCGTTCAATCTTGAGATTTCAGATTGGCTCTGTGATAAGTTGCTATCTTGACTCCAAAACATGCTTGGGTATTGTCGTGTGCATTGTTGTAGAAGAAGCACATCTCCAACCAGAAAAGACATGGCATAGTCATACGCTTTTCAATAAATACATTAGAGAAAACATCTTTTCTTTTCATGGATAATTATAATAATAATACTAGTAGCGATAGAGTAATTTGAGATTTAAAAATGCGAAATAACTAGCAATGTCGTCGTGAGAAGAAGAGGTGAAGTTGAAAAAACTCGATGAGCATTGGCTGTCGGCTTCCCACGGATCTCCCCCACCACCCGCAACCTTAAATCAACCTCCGAACGATAGACAACTTCGGAAAAAAAATCAAAGCTATGAGAAGAAAGGAAAAGAAAGAAACAGAGTAAAGCAACAAAAGCAAAGTACGGCTAAATCAAATTCAAATCGGTAAGAACCATAAGAACTCGTTGTAATTCAATCAAATTCATTAGGCAAAAGTGTTCGAACTATGACCCCCAAAGGACCTGGCCGTTCAATCGGATGGGAGAGCACTGATTTTTTGCAATTCGTGGCAACCAGATGGCAATTAATCTGTATCCATCTCTTCTTCAGAAGCTGCTGAAGAGATCCTTTAGATACTTGTATTCGTCATCGTTGAGCAGGAGCTTCAACATTTCGTCGTCCTCTTGATCGATATACTCGACCTGAGGGCCATGTCTAGGATCCAGCCATTCCGACCAATTTATTTGCACCGCATTCCCAAAAAGCCGTTCCAAGGCCCCTGCGACCGGCTGGAGAACGTCCATTTGTTCTTGAATTAATCTGCTGGTGCCGGTAGGGATATAAGGCTCCTCGTCTGGGACGAGTGGCGGCATCTCGGTGGGAGGATTCAACGTATTGAGACCAGTGTGTTTCCATTCCAGCGCACTCCATGCAGTGTTTGCAGAATTGTCGGGTATATCAAGTTTCTCTGGCTCACCTAGTTCTCGTGGGTCCTCTCGTTCTTGCGAGCCCCCTGCTTGTCCCGGTTCTTCTGGCTCTTGCAATTCCTCGAACTCCTCAGCCGCTTGAGGTTTGTCGGCTTCCATTTTCTGTTTTTTGGCATTTCGTTCCGGAGTTTCTCCCCTTTTCCTTTTTCCTTTTGATTGTTTGAGGTTCTCGCCATTCACATAAGAATCAGTATTTATTCGGTTGTCTTCCTCATCGTTGGTTTTACTGCTTCTGTTTTCCATGCGGCCATCCTCTACAGGACGTTCATTAACTCGGCGATTGCCGCTCCCATTCGTTTCATGTAACTCGTTGACAAAATAATCGTTATCAGTCTTGTTTTCCTGGCCAGCAGTATTCAAAACCACAGAGCGGTCAGTTCTTAGCGCACCATACTCCGCGTCATCATTCCGAGAGTTCATAAGAGACGGAAAGCCTTGTCCAATACCACGTCCAAAATCATAATCGAAATTATCATAGGTGTTGTATCCTTGTGACAGCTGACTGCTGCTAAGAAAGCCTCGACTGACCTTGCCGCCCAAATCGAAAGGGTTATCGTAAATATTTATGTATCTATTGTCCGGGGCCGCAGGCTGATTATCGCAGGGAAAACTGCGACTGAGAGAATTGCAAGGGAACCCGCTCGGACCTGGGTTGGCGCTAGTAGAGGGCCGCGGAGGGTTGGAAGGAACATTTTTCATGTACATTTCCTCGTACCTCTTAGCTTTCTTTTCATATTCTTTCGGAAGAGCAACCCTCCCTTTGCTGGGGTCATGTGGGTCGATTAAGCCGGGAGTCAATCCCCTCGTCGTATTGTCTTCCAGATTTATGTTACGATTTTGCAACATCTGCTCTATACTTTTGATATGCGCTTCCGTCGTTTTGTTCCCAGTCCCCCAGGTGGTTAGATGAAATAATTGGCGGAAACGCACTCCGCGTTGCTGTAAAGCATTGGAATTCACGACGAATTCTGGATGCATTCTGTCGAGGATATCTTGCAGATGAATTCTCCGATCTAAACGCATCCATGCTTCAACTTTCCATTCCTCCACATAGGAGGCGATTCGATCTGGCAATATATCTAACTCCTTCAATAGAGGCCCGTTGGGGTATGGGGATAATTTCGTTGGCAAGAGGTCACTACTCCTGCTCAATGGCTCGGTCGGGCGAAACTGGTACAAGATGTCGGGAAGATTATTCCACGACCAATGTCGCTGCGAAGGAACTATAAGTGTGATGTTCCTCTTATCGTCGCGCGCCTGCGAACTATTTTTACGTGGAGCTTTCTCTGTTGTAGATCATTAGTTGATGTCCGAGGATGCTTTCTCCAGCTTATCGCTTACTCTTCTGTTTATTCTGGGTCTTAGAGCCCGAGCCAGAATCCACCGGCGCAGCCGGTTTCGATGGCGACGGAAAATCTACCATTTTTTCTCGAGAGACTCGAAGAAGTTTGCAAAGATAAATAGATTAAAGCAACGAGAAGAACTAGAGCCTGCTCGTGTGAGAAAGGGAATCAATTGAGACTAGCTCTTGATCTGAAAAGACAACAGAATATCACTAGAAGAAACGCACATCAAGGAAAAAAGAGAAGAACAAGAAGGCGGAGACGAAGGAAAGGAAAGACGAGGAGAGGAATCTGGGAGAAAATGCTTTGGGTCCCATCTTGGCCTCGAATCGCAACATAGAGATGAAAATTTTTCTTCTGATATTCAATAGAGACGAATATCGTATACATCACGGCAAGCTCCGCTATATGATATCTATTGATATGTGGGTCGTGGGGGGCCGGGAATGGTTCCCGCCGGGAAGCTCCTCTGCGCGGCCATTGTATGCTTTGGCTGAATGGTATTGATAAGCGGGTCCCTTTCAACAAGGCCGGAGCTCTCAAAAGCTTAAACAGAAAAGAGCATTGGTTCGTGTCGATGGGGATCTTGTACGCATGCCTGATTGCCGAGCTAGGGCTTTCGGTATTACGGGGAGAATGAAGACGTCCCCAGTTAATATCCAGGTATCATCTAGCAGCATTACTTCTGGAGAGAAAAGGTACGCATTTGACAATGCCCATTTGAGAAACATATTTATCAAATTTGGTATTTGATAGGGTATATCATAAGAAAACCAGCATCTGGGAGGCATTCGAGCCTGCATGCCTAGGGGAAACATATGAAACACTCGAAAGAAATTTCAACGGGACCTCCCATTAAACAAAAAGGATTTGCTTGTCCGAGTGACTCATGCTGTTTCAGATAGCTGCTTCACTGTGTAGTTGCGGTGTTGTAAGGTCTTGAGTTGGAGGACATCAAGTATGTTGAGATGTCATTAAGCTTTCCCTCTATTCCAGATTCGGATCACAGAGACTAACTAGCCTTATTAAGTCTAGTGTAGCTAGCTTATTAATGCTGTCACGTGGTACCCCGTGCCCAAATCTGCGCTACCTGGTTGCCTGGCCTGTCGTAGCTAACTAGCTTAGTTAGCAAATTTCAAGGTTCCCTTCAACTTTTGTCACCGTTTCATTCCTCCGATCCAGCGGACGCACGCGCGTAGTATCCGAGGGGGCGGTTTACAACCATTACGGAGTCCCGCGGCGCCTCCAAAGTCCCCCACTCCGCTTGATAAGGGTATAAGAGCAGAGCTATGGTTTGATGCTTTGCAATTGTTGTTCTCTGAGATGTCAGAGGTACGATAATCGAATTTCTCTTAATCAAGAAAAAACTAGTTGGACTTTGGATCAAGCGAATAGAAAAATGACAAAAAGAAAGCGAGGTAGCACGTCAGAAGCCGGTGACAGCAAGAACACGAATGCTTCAGAGGTCGCCATCTCATTCACCTCGCGCAAACCGGAATGGGCGTATTTACATCTCGAATTGTACGTAGCTTCATGGTCTCTCACACAACTCAGTCCGAAGAGTAGTTAATAATCTTTCCTTCGTGATCTTAGGGTCACCCAATCCCCAGACGCCGGCTCAGAGCCGCTCGATCTCCTCACGGCCAAAACATACCTCACCACCGCCCTATCCCAATTTTTAGGCCTTTCCGGCACCGCGATACCCATTGACATTTTGAAGCTGCAGTTGGAAGAATTACCCACCGCTACGGCATCGGCGCGCAGGAAAACACGGAATATGCTATGGATTAGAGTCCCCCATGACGATGCGGCGGCGGTAATCGCAGCTGTGAGTTCGTGGGTTGGTGGCAGTGGGGGCGGCGTGGCGTGGAAGATAAGGGGAAAGGGAAGCTGGCTGGGTGCATTGGTGGGAGGAACAGGAGGAGAGTTGTTTGCCTAGTAGCAGAGGTTGGTGATGAAAACAACCTGGGCTTGTTACTGGAAGTCATGAAGTCAACTAGCAGATATGGGATCACCTCGGTTCCATAGTTTCATGTCTGATCAGTTCTGCGAGATGGTATGATAGATATCATTGTGGGATTGAACAAAAGCAATGTGATATTTGAGCTCTCTCACTGAGGCTGATATTCAGCTCTATTCTCTCCATCCTCTGGCGGTTCTTGACTGCCTCGCCTTCATATGACGTAACAACAATAGTAGCTTCTTTATTTAACAGGCATTTGCGATACGGGACGGCTCGCGGCTCGAAAAGGCCCTGATCCATGCCTCTCCACAATAAAAACATCTCCAGAAAACACATTGTGGGAACACTCTGGAACATGACTACAATTTGAATATGAGATTACAATGAAAGAAATTAGATTTAGATTCAATAAACACGCTATGCGGCTTATGTAGTTATGCTTCGACACTCCAGCCTCACAAAACTCCCTTCTCAAACTCCAAGCTCAATAACGAAATCAGCTGATAAGGAGCAGCCTGATAGTGGATATGGACACAGTTAGCCTTAGCCGCATATCACTGAAATACAAAAGAATATGTATAGGGAACTTTGAATAGACACTGTAACACTAGACGGCAAAATATAATCAAAAACTCTTTTACAGCTTTTCTTTTATTTTCTTTTCTGCTTCCCGGCAGTCTTTTAGGGCACATCGGTGCTGATCCGATTTGCGCCCAATGCCTTCTCCCTGGAGCCCGAGGCCTGCACAACAACAGGTGCAACTGTAGCTTTGGCTCTAAGAGCAGCACGGAGATCATCGACGCTGCGTGCTTTCCAGGCATCCGCACCGCTTTTGCTGAGCGGGTGGAGAACGAGATTGTCACAGCGGGGGATGAAATCTTTCGGTTTCGGCGGCGGGGAGGAGGTAATAATATCTAGGTCAGCGGCGAGCTGCTCGCAGAAGATATCGAGCGGAAGATCATTAACATCATTGCCGAATGGATTCTCAATCTCAGCGCAAATTGCGGCAAGACCCTGGATAATGTACGTAGAAACTAAATAATAAATATGAGCCGCAGGATTTCAGGAGCGTATTGGGAGATAGTGATGAGATAAAGCTCTGTCATAAGGCACTTACCAATGCACCCTGGGATAGTGATCCATCCTAAGTTCTCGACAAGTTGGAACGGGAGGATAAGAACGTAGATCCATGTGATTTGGGAGATGAGAATAGTATATGCAAGGGGAAGGGGTGTGTTGAGAACGCGTTCAGTGCCTGTCATAACCTCTTCCATAGCATAGAGAGCAGTACCTAAGCCACACCAGTTAGAATCAACTTTGCACCACTGCGAAACAAAGTCTTACCGGCCTGTGATTGATAGACGGGAAGCTTGATTTTAGTATTCATGATATCGTCGACATATGAGGATAAATACGATAGAATCTCCACTGGCAAGTTTCCCAGCGGCTTCTTCGACTGTTTGATTGCCTTTCGGGGATTGGAGATTGCCATCGGAACACTGAGGTATTGTCCAATGGCCTTTAGGCGACCGGCCTTTCGAGTGTCGGCGGCACTAGGGTCGTAGGCATCCTTTGCGAACGTATCCAGATGTCCAATGAGATCAGCTAAATCATCGTATGCAATATCCGGCTCGAATCGTAGTTTATGTTTCAAGGCAACAGCAAATGCAACGATCATGTTAATCCCGGTTCTAGAATGAAAGATAGGTTAGGGGAACTCTGTTGAGCATGGCAAGATGTCTACCAGCAAAACATACAGTTTGCTAAGCACATCCTCTTTTCCTTCTTCACCTTCGCGTTCATCGGTATGGATCCAAATAATGCGAGCCAATGTTCGGGATGATTGCATCAAGAGAGCCCAATATTTTCGTCCTTCTGCATATCTTGACAGGAGTCAGAAAAGGACAAAGAAGTGAACAGAACTGGCGTAAGACAGTACCTTTCGTATGCGGTAGAACTGCGTAGAGAAAGAGAAAGACCAACAACGAAACCGAGAACCGTAAGTAGGATCGAGGATACGCCCACTAAATTACAAGTCAGTATCGGGCTCGACGTTTGCCAGAAAGACAATGTACGTACAGGGATGAACCTTTTTGGTAATGACTGTAATGAGGGTTGACCATCCTGACATGAAGAGCAGAGGAATTAACATCCGTGGCATCACGCTGCCGTGCAGCCGAAGGAAAGTCGGCCATTTCGAGTGTCGATCGAGGTTTCGCGGTCCAACCTGTTTAACAACTGCAGTAAGCATGGGATTCAACAGGTCAGGGAGCGATAGGCGCCTTATTCTAGGGGAGTAGGGGTATGCGCCGTACAAAGTAATCGTCAAGATCAATGCTTGGCCTCCTGGAAAGCAGATTCTGAGGAACCTTGCTTTCGCGCTCTTCGCCAACACTACTTATATATGTTGGCATACGTGACGGTCCCTTGGTACTGAATGTCGTGGTCGAGGAAGCATAATCAGGGTTTCGCGGAGCACCATTCTGGATTGGAACGGGCTCCGCAGGGTGTTGGATAGCCATATCGGACATGATCAACGCCTCACGCGGATGCTCGACAGGGTAAACGCGCTGTTGAGAAACAGTGATAGGAAATGAAAGGAGGGCAAGGGGTCTGGAGTGTGTCTAATAATTAAATGAATGAAGGTGGATTTTGCTCTTGCTGTTCTCAAGAACGAAGGAATGAGGAAAATCCCGAGAAAATCCTAGGAAAGCTAATGAAACGAAAGAATGATCGATATATATCTGACAACACCCACACAACCACGGCGGAAAAACGGCAAAGGAAAGGAAAGGGCAAAAAACGCAGGTTAAGGGGCGACTAGAGTGGAGGAAGGAAAAAGTTCGTGAAGCCCTCAAGATGGCCCCCGACCTTTTGCCCAGCCCGTCATGGGCGAGTGAAACACGAGCTGCATGGACTAGGCCTCAATCAGAGTCGCGCAGAGGCTTACTCAAGCATCCACACCCGTTATTGGCGGAAAGGCAAATTGCTCCTTGGTTCCTGTTGGGCTGAAGCAACGCACAAGCCTGAACTCGTGCCTGGCAGCCTGGGTGATTCCTCCTTCTGTGATACGGTGCATCCAGTCCATCTGTTGAAGGTGTTTCTTGGAGGAAGCTATGGTTCAATATTGGTGACGGGACTGACAACAAGACAACTCTTCGCCTTACCTGTGTCTGAGAGTCTAGAGAGTCGAGGGGGAAGATCACCGTTTAGAGTCTAGACCCGGGTCTTTCGTCCTCTGGCGGCCCCCAAAAGCAAAACTGTCAACGTCAGCCACACAGCGAAAGCAAAAATGCACTCCTGACAATCATAAAACGCGAAGAGGCCTGGATAAAAAGCCACCCACTGCACCACAGTCGACCCCTGCATTTGGAGCATGGTGATGAAACGGTCGAGTCGCTCGTTGGACCTCAAGTTCGAACGATTCAACTGTCAAAAATCTCCCCGTATGCGAGGCTCCAAAATGCATGCCATGATCGTCTGGCATTGGCGGCTCAAGAGGGACGAACTAACTAATCAGGCGATGCATGATGCCCCCACTGACATTATTCACAGAGCCATCACGCTGAACGCTCCGCCTTGACTGACCCCGGCAGAAGAACGGGGTCGACAGTGCAGCGCTGTTGATTATTCGTCAGTATCACGTCAGTACCAACCGAGGTCGTGCAGAATCCAAGTTCAGCCCTGAGTAACACCGCTATTCGATCAAGCGTCTTTGTTAGCTGCATTGGAACGGAGAAATGGTTGAAAAGACAAACCCCGACCAGGCATTGCCGTGAAAGAGGGGAGATTTGGGCGAAGATGGACTTCTTGCAGAAACACAGATACCTAGCCACAGACTGTGCCTATGTGAGAGTGGGAAGAAAAGAAAAGAAACAGAGAGCAGCAAGGACCAAGGAGGGCTGCCAAACGAAGTTAAACAATATTGTTGTCGAAATACCATTCTCCTTTTGATAAAGTCTTGTGTGGTATCGTTACACTTGTCCACTATTCGTCTATTATCCACCAAATGAGGCTCGACATTGGACTACCTGCACGAAGCTATAAATACTCCAGAAGAGGGCGGTGATAGCAAGTCAGCATTATTTGACATCTCAATCCTTTACCACAGCTCTGGCTAAATAATACTAATCGGCATCTCAGAGATCATCCCCCCTTTTTTGTTACCCGGAAAGGCATCAAGAGCCTATGGAAACATCTGAACTTATCCAGGTCACAGAGTAATAGTTGCTCGCTGGCGGGAATGGACTCGGTAGTTTCGAGATCAGACCAGATAACACGCCGAGCAGACAGGCCGATCGGGAGTAGGGCGGAGCACATCCTAAGAGGCCTCGTTGACGGGATCGGGACTTCCAGCAACGGAGGGGAATCCCGGCGCTTGGAGGCGCTGTGGACGAGGCGGCTGCTTCCCCTGCTGGCCGAGGAAGGCGGACTATTGTTGATCCGCACCGCGAGTGGCATAAAGTTGCCTGATTAGGTCTAGCGTAATGGTCAATGCTGGTTTCTCGGCAATAATAGCGACCTGTTATTGGCTGACTGGCCCGATTGCCGTCCCTTTCCTGGCGGTGGGGCGGGTGGTGTGGCTTGATTGGCCGCAGATAGAAGTGCTTCCCCAGACTCTTCCACGAGAGCTTCTTGACGAAGCTGCGAGCGGAGTTGCAGGGAGGGGAAGCAATCGCACACTGTTAAAAAGAACGGCCTTTGCCTCGACATTGTCTTGACGGTCTGCCAGCTTACACACTCTACTCTTGTCTTCCATCTCTTCGTACCTGGCTCCTCAATCAATCCTACCCTCTTGGTGACATCATCGGAGAGCTCTCCACCTGCAGGTCGTCCGTCGTTTCTTCAGGCGGCAAGCTTGCTTGATCATTGATTTTCAATCCTAATACTCATATTCATCCGACAATGGCTTCAGTTCTACGCACATCAGCTCACATTAGAGCCGCTGTCCGCACCAAGCGGTCGTTTTCGACGTACCATGCACTCCGTGCTAGCACAGCGGCGTCAGCCAGCTCAAAAGCGCCCACCGAGAGAGCGTATTTCACAAATGAACCATCTGGTCCTTCCATAAAGACCGCTATTCCCGGTCCCAAAAGTCAACAGAAAATTGCGGAACTCAATCAAGTTTTCGATACCAGGGCCCTTAATATGTTGGTGGATTACAGCTCGTCAGTTGGGAACTAGTGAGTTGAATCCGATGCCTCAATCATGCACCAGGATCAAGAGCATCGTATGGGCTAACCTGTTTACCAATTTAGCATCGCCGATCCAGATGGGAATGTTCTGTTGGATGTGTAAGATTCTCATCTCTATCAAGTTGCCCCTGGTTCTAATTCATGACAATTGGCAGCTACGCCCAAATTGCCTCAATTCCAGTGGGCTACAACAACCCCAATCTCCTCGAAGCCACAAAATCACCCGAAATGGCCAGTGCCCTTATCAACAGACCAGCCTTGGGCAATTTTCCCGGGCAGGACTGGGCTCACATCCTCGAATCAGGACTTCTCAGAGTCGCCCCGAAGGGCATGAATCAAGTATTTACTTCCACCACCGGTTCCGATGCAAACGAGACCGCGTACAAAGCTGCTTTCATGTACCACGCACAGCAAAAACGTGGAGGCCCCGAGGTCGAATTCACCAAGGATGAGATCTCCTCCACCATGTCCAACCAGTCTCCAGGCTCACCAAACTACTCTATTATGTCCTTTGAATCTGCCTTTCACGGGCGCCTCTTTGGCAGCTTGTCAACCACACGGAGCAAACCCATTCACAAGCTTGATATCCCGGCTTTCGACTGGCCCAAGGCCCCATTCCCCTCCCTCAAATATCCCCTTGAGGATTTCGCTTCCGAAAACGCCCAGGAGGAACAGCGTTGCCTCCAGGAAGCTGAACGGATCATCAAGGAGTTCCACAACCCTGTCACTGCCGTTGTTGTTGAACCAGTCCAATCTGAAGGAGGTGACAACCATGCTTCCCCAGCATTTTTCCAGGGTCTCCGTGAAATCACAAAGCGACATAATGTTCTCTTGATCGTCGACGAGGTTCAAACCGGCCTCGGTGCCACTGGAAAGTTCTGGGCCCATGACCACTGGAATCTCCAAACCCCTCCTGACATTGTCACTTTCTCTAAGAAAGCGCAAGCTGCCGGATACTATTACGGAAACCCGGCCTTGCGACCCAATAAACCATACCGTCAATTCAACACCTGGATGGGTGACCCAGCCCGCGCCCTTATCTTCCGGGCCATTCTCCAAGAGATTGAACGATTGAACCTCGTGGAGAACACCGCTGCCACTGGTGATTATCTATTTTCTGGCTTGGAACGTCTCGCTAAGCAATATCCCGGCCAGTTCCAGAATCTCCGTGGAAAGGGCCAGGGTACATTCATCGCTTGGGATAGCCCACAGAGAGATGCTATCCTAAAGAAGGGCAAGCAAGTTGGTATCAACATCGGAGGGTGCGGAGAGACCGCCGTCAGACTGCGACCAATGTTGATCTTCCAACAACATCACGGTAAGTAATCAACCGACCCAACTTATTGTGTTTTGCCAAAACTAATAATGTCTTTCAGCGGACATCCTCCTTGAGAACCTTGAGAAAATTGTCAAGTCTTAGGATTTCTTATTCGTTTATACTTTTTATTTTTGGGTTCGCTCATGGCATTCCGTAGTATTCAGGGTTATTTTGATGCTTGTTTATTTTCACTTTTCGTCCTGGCAAAATAATCTGCGCATGTCCTATAGTCTTTTGCAGGAGTCGATACTAGATTTAACGATTAATTGCAATCCTTTCAAGCGTTTTAATGATTCCGTACAAAGAAGCTCTGTGGAGATGACTGTTATCAGATCAATTCTTCGCCGCTGATTGGCCAGACACGGCAGGGAAGCAAAAGTTTCCAGAGACGCAGAAAGTAGCAGAAAAGGACGAGCGGTTTGTCTCTTCGCTTCAAGCAACTTCACGGTTGGCTGGCTCCCTTCTCATCCTCGTATTATCACCTACCACTGGCCCTTCAAACTCCGGGTTTGTCTGGCATCTGTACCCACAAGTGAAAGCGTTCCTCCTAGCTTCCGATCCTCGTGACCTGTCTCATCCCCGCCTCAACGGTCCGGTCAAACGTCTTCTCCTCCGTCGCCATGGCTAACGCAGATATCGAAGCCGCGACGGCTTTAAAAGTACAGGGAAATAAAGCCTTTGCTAAACATGACTGGCCGGGGGCGCTGGATTTCTACACACAGGCCATCGAGAAATACGACCAGGACCCCTCCTTCTGGTGTAATAGAGCGCAGGTGGGTCTTTGCCCTATTCCTTTTGGCACTTACGAACTAGAAAGACCGAAGAGACCAGAAAGAGTGGTGTCTACTTTTGCGGGAAATAAGAGAGGGAAAGTGATGATTTATTTTGCTGACGAGACTTCCGAACTGCTTAGGCTAATATTAAACTTGAAGCCTACGGTTATGCTATCGCGGATGCGACCAAAGCCATCGAATTAGATCCATCATATGTGAAGGTATGGCCGGACCTAGATGTTTCATCGCCAGCGTGCCCCTAACGTTCTCTGGCTGCTAGGCGTACTGGAGACGAGCCATTGCGAATACCGCCATCCTCAGTTACCGGGAGGCTCTGAGAGATTTTAAGGCCGTCGTTAAGAAGGCTCCGAACGATCGTGATGCGAAATTAAAGCTAGCGGAATGTGAGAAGCTAGTGCGAAGAATTGAGTTCGAGAAAGCGATTGAAGTTGCGGAACCGCCATCTGCATTCGAGGGGCTTGATATTGATGCGATCAAGGTCGAAGAGACTTATGATGGCGTGGCGCTTGGAGATGAGATGACACAGGAATTCATAGACGATATGATTGAACGGTTCAAGAATGGGAAGAAGATACATAAGAAATACGCCTATAAGATTGTGAAGAAGGTGAAGGATATGGTATATGACGAACCAACGATGGTGGAAGTCGGTGTTGAGGAGGGAACCAAGCTGACAGTTTGTGGGGATACGCATGGTAAGAGCATATATGTCGGGCAGCTGAACTTGGTCTAACTCTTCTCCTCATAGGCCAGTATTTCGATCTCCTGGAAATTTTCAGACTCAACGGTTTCCCCTCGGACAAACACGCGTACCTGTTTAACGGTGACTTTGTTGATAGAGGTTCTTGGTCAACAGAAATCGCCCTCCTTCTCTTCTCGTATAAGTGGTTACGACCGAACAAATTCTTCCTTAACCGCGGAAATCATGAGACAGATGATATGAATCGCGTTTATGGATTTGAAGGAGAATGCAAGGCCAAATATACAGAACGTTTGTTTAAGACATTCTCCGAATCCTTCTCTGCGCTTCCTCTCGCCACGTTAATCGGGGAGAAATACCTTGTTCTCCATGGAGGTCTCTTCTCAGACGACAATATCACCCTTGATGATATCCGAAAACTCAATAGACATGGCCAGAGACAACCCGGTCAATCTGGACTAATGATGGAAATGTTATGGACCGACCCGCAAACTGATCCTGGACGCGGACCAAGTAAACGAGGTGTTGGCTTGCAATTTGGTCCTGACGTGACGAAACGATTCTGCGATAAGAATGGTTTGAAGGCCATCATCCGAAGTCACGAAGTAAGAATGGAGGGCTATGAAGTTGAACATGATGGCCGGTGTATTACAGGTTCGTTATTCCGTGCTAGGGATAGGATGAAAGCGCCCTTGCTAACGAAAGCTAATTTAGTCTTCTCTGCGCCTAAATACTGCGATAATACTGAAAATAAGGGTGCTTATATTAATGTTGATCCGAAATTGGAGCTTGAATTCCACAAGTTTGACGCTGTTCCTCACCCGGATATCAAGCCGATGGTACGTGCGGCCCGATCCCCACTAATACTTCGCCCTCGCTGGAGCGGCACTTTTCAAGGAGTTATGAACTAATTGAATTTTGATTAGGCCTATGCTCAAAACTCCATCATGTCTCTCATGTGAAAATATAGTGTTTAGCTTCTACGTTTGCATGAAAAGATAGGCACTCCCTAGACAGCTCGCATCCATGTCGCGATATGGGCGACCGTGCCTTGAGGTGCTGGAAGTAATCGCAGCGGAAGTTTACTCATCGAATACGTTTCTGCTTTACTAGCGCGGAGTCGGCCGGTATAGAGCAATTCTGCGCCTATTGGGATTTTGACAGATCTGTGGTTATGATATCTGTGGCTTAAGTGGAATGGAGATATGCGCGCTTTGGACACTAAAATGTTTGAAAACCCAGAGGTTAGGAAATATGCCTATCTGAGATTTTTCTCGATTATCGCTTGATCTTGTAGAAACGAAGGTGATTTTTCTACTGATGACGTGAATTTGGAGAGCATGTTGCTGCTGTATCACCCCTTTATGTAACTACTCCACCTGTGAAGTAACAATTCCGGAAACTTTGAATTATTTCAACACATCCCTAGGACACGGCCCATTTGGTATCTTCATGGGAGAGAGCCAGGTCAAGACATGGAATTTGACCCCAAAATCCGTACGTTTCGCATGCCCTCTCGGTTTGACGATCAACTATCACCAAGAGGGGCAAAATTGCTAACCCCGCCCACATTCAGCTCCCGTTCTCACATCCGAACGGCAGACGTTCGCATACGTCTCTGCCCTTGAGAGATGGCCTGTTATTCTGGTCGGAGTCTTCAATTCCCATTTCTTTGCGTTTCCCAGTGCTTTGCTAATACATGATGTCCTTGAGGTAGACTGGCGCAATCGACGACCTTCACCGGTCATTGATCCAACTCCCCGATGCCGAAAGGAATAAACAACAGGAAGGAAAGGAGATTGTTTCGCAACTCGCTGCGTTGAAATATGAGCTGCTTCATAATAGGAAACTGACGTGAGAGGGTCACTGCCTGTCCATTGCGAAAATGCGGTTAGAAATTGACGACGATATAGGCCGCTGCCGGACGATGGGGAAGATGATATCAAAGCTTATAATAAGGAGTTGGAGGAGCGAGGTGAACTGAGCTGGTTCAATGCACCGTGGCTCTTTTCAGAATGTTATCTCTGTGCGTTATCAACACCATTACGGCTACGTTGATCAGATTCCTGACTGCTGCACATGTAGACAGGCGGGTAAATGTTCTATTCACTCGCACAGTATATTGGAAAGACTATGACATCTTTGCGCGGCAGAAGATGTCTACGTTCAAGTCATCTCGCCCTGCGGTCCTCGAGCTAGGTGCTAGATATAAAGACCTAGACAAAGAGATCAAAGCGACTCACTCCAGTGAGCAATCAGAGAAAGCAGATGAGCTACTCTTCACCGAGATGTGCGAAATCTGCCTATGGGGAAATGCAACTGATTTGTCCCTTCTCACATCACTGACATACGAAGATATCCAGAAGCTTCAGGGCTCCAAAGCCCGCAAAGCAGCAGAAGAGAATATTATCGTTAATGACCTGCTGTCAGCATTCAAAGTGTTGAATGATGCTCGCAAGAGCAAAAAGAGCCAAGAACGCCGCGTAGACATTGTGCTTGACAACGCTGGCTTCGAACTCTTCGTCGATTTGATTCTCGCTGGATACCTCCTACTTTCCGACCTCGCCACAACAGTCGTCCTTCATCCCAAGTCGATCCCTTGGTTTGTCTCTGATGTGCTGCCCAAGGACTTTGGCGATCTTGTGTCCGCCCTCGCCGACCCACAGGCTTTCTTCACGGCTCCAGATGAGAAGCACGATCCGAAAAGCAACGGCCAACTCCCGCAACCCCTTTCGGATAAGGAAGTCGCCGAGCTAAAGTTCCTCTTTGACCAATGGAGCCAATTCCACGCTGACGGGAAATTGATCATTCGACCAAATCGGTTCTGGACGACAGGGGGAAGCTACTGGCGAATTCCGCATGAAGAACCGGAGCTGTTCGACGATTTGAAGGAGAGTGAATTGGTTATATTCAAGGGAGACTTGAATTATAGGAAATTGATCGGTGATGTAGGTGCCATTTCTCTATTACTTGTAGTTACTTGTGTCTCCCTCCGACCGAAACTTGACTAAAACGTTCATAGGCGCATTGGAACCCAACAACGCCCTTTTCAGATGCAATCGGACCACTAGGTCCTAGCTCGGGAATTCGCACTCTTGCTCTCCGCACTTGCAAAGCGGACGTCGTCGTAGGCCTTCCCGAAGGAGAGGATGAACGGCTTCGCGAGACTCCCGGTGGTGGAGGAGACTCGGGGGCTCGAAAATGGGCTTGGAGCGGCAAATGGGCTGTTGTGCAATTCTGTGATGGGAAACTCTGAGAGCCAGGATCAATACTTTCATGAAGAACATTTTTTGCTTTTATGATAGCGCATAAACATGGCTATTATCAATAGATTTGTATTTTCGAGGATTGGGCACTATCATAGAAACGGGAGCTGGATGAGGAGGGACTTGCTATGAAAGATGATATTTGTAAGCCATAAAGTAGGCTATCCTAAAAAATGAGACTTTCCAATAGAACAAAGAGAAGCAGCAAAAAGGAAAAGGACTGGATATCAGCAATCTAGAGAGGATTGTTCTTTGAACGCCAACACTTGGGAACACCATCTAATCAGGCCAAACCAGCAAAACTGGCATTTATAACAACGAATGCAAATTGGTATCATCGCAAACCCACGCTGCAATCAAGTAATAAAGCAAACACACTCACGGGTGGAGGCAAGGGTATAGGCTAATAGAACCTGTCGAGGGCCTCAAACCGAAGATTAGTACCTAAGCTAATCAAATTCATCCATGAGCACTGGTGTTAGACTGCAGTCCACATGTTCTCCTTGCCCTGGGGTCTAACTTTGTTTCCATCATCATTGCCGCTCCGCTGAAGGCGTGCCTTTGCGGCTGCAAACCGTTCGGGAGAGGAAGCTTTTAGCTCTGCAGCTGCAGCACTCGCAGACAAATGATTGTCTGAGGCAAGGGACAATTGCCGGTTCAAAGCCAAAGGTTTGCTGGTAGTTTGCCTTGAGAACCTGCTTTCTGGAAATTTGGTTTGGCGAAGTTGTGAAGGAGTGGTCTTCCTATCTCGAGAAAGTTCCATCGAGGGCCTGGAAGAGAGAGCAGCAGGCAAATAGTCTTCCCGAGCCATAGACTTTTTAGGTGATACAGAACGGGAACGTTGGGATTGAAGCAGTCTTGCAGATGTTATGAGATCTAGGTTGTTTTGGCGGCGTCTGATAGTATTCGGTGACGGCAAGCCGTAGTTTGAATCAAGCAAAACCGGTGTAGTCGCGCGGCCGTCCGGCTCATGCATGGAAGATAGCTGCGGGTCTTTTTGCGACGCGTTTGGCATCGAAGCCTGGTCCATTGGTTTGCGTGTTTGTTTCTGTGTACTTCTTCCCCTTTCGGCATAGAGACCTGCTTTGCTTTCGCGCCTGTGTCCGCTGTAGCTGATGGATTCGTGCTCCTGATCAAGCAGGACATCAACTTGTCGTTTTTTGGGGGATAATTCTCTTGTAGAACTGGTTTTCTCAGCATTGGCTACTTTTGCTCTAAGCGATTCAATGACTTCTTGCATTTCTCGCTTTTCTGCGTCAAACGTCTTTTTTAAGGCGCTCTCTGCTTCGTGGTGTGCTTTTGACGAATCTCTAAGCCGCTCACTATACTCTTTAACTCGGGATTCAAGAGTTTCTTGTTTTCGCTTCAGTCTTCCTTCGTTCGCTTTTCGTCTGTCTTCGTAGCCGGAGATCTCCTTTTTGATCTTCGCGAGCTCGCGTTTTAATGATAGATTTTCGCTTTCGAGTTCTTTGGCTTTACGTTCAGACTCCTGGGCTAACGCCTGTAGATTCATAAAATCTTTCGATTTCTCTTCCGCTTTCAACTGAGTATTCGCTTGATCTAATTCTTCTTGGGCTCTCCGAAGCTTCTGAACCAAAGCGTCGTGTTTCGACTCATCGTCTAGAGAGCTCTCGTCGCTGTCCAGAACTCCATGCTTTTCAAGCGCCTTTCGAAAACTGGCAGCTTTGTGCTTATGCTTCAATGTTAACGCTGTTTGCTGAGAAAGCTCCTTAACCATGTCTTCATTCTTTGGCTCTCCGGTATTGATCTTGTCGGCCATTCTGGAGGCCAGTCCCGCGAGGCAGCTTTCCATTTCTTTGAGCTTTTCCTCTTCCTGCTTCAGTTTATCTGTTAGACGAATGACTTGTTCATCTTTTTTCCGTGCAAATGATCTAGTTAATCTCCGATATTCAATGAGTTTCTTTATTTCGCGATCCGATTTAGTTCTGTAGCTCTCGTATTCAGCTTTCCAGTATTTGCCTGATTGTGAGTGAGGTTCGTTTAAATTCGTCGTGGAGTCATCTTCGGCGTCTTCTGTCGGATTTTGGGTGGGAGGCGTGGTGGATTGAGCAGAAGCATCAACAGGAGGAACTTTCTTCTCACCCACAATATTAAAGAGCTCATCGTCTTGTGTGGTTTTATGCCCGTTGAACGGAGACTGGGCTGATTTGCCTCGAATCCTTTTCGACGGGTCTGAGGTCGGAGCTGGCCAATGTCGGCTAATATTGCCAGAAAGCAAGTCTTTCTTTGAACTCGCTTCGAAGGTTGATCGCCTACGCTCGTTATCGATAACACCCTCACCAAACGAGACTGTCTTCCTTCGGCCGGCCGCCGCTCCTGGCGTAACGAGGATACTCTTCGTGGGCGAGGGCATGAATTGTGTGGGTTCTTTTGGTAGCGGTAAGGGCCCTTGGGGTTGCGCTTTTCCCTTTTCTTCAAGTCTGGCTTGCTCGAGTTTTTTCATGAGTCCATCACTTCGTTGATAAGTGCTATTGAGGGATTTTATGGGAATAGTAAGCTCCCTATCCGCATCTACGTCACCTGGAGTACCAAGGACAGCGTTTTTGAAAGCTTTGTAGGCAAATACAGGGGCCGGGGTCTCAGGGCCATCTATCTTTCACGATTAGCAGTGAAAATAAGCCGTATGACGTTGAATTGGTTGTTGAAGGAACGTACCGATACCCTCCCCGCGCCCGGCGTTTGCTAACCATCCGAGCATACTGGGGTTTTCAAGGGCCACAGAGGGTCATGAGCCACGAAGATAAATTCAAGTCTCACAAAATAGCCAAAGACGCGTCCCAACCGCTGCTATTTATCCACCAGGCGCAATTGTGGTGGTGGTGTCGTCGTCCTCGACCAAGGGAACCACGTTTGTTTACCCGACGGGGGTTCAATGCCGTTAGTTAGCTAAGCTTGGGCAATTGGCAGCTTCACCGCGCTAAACCGCTTTGGGCGGGAAGCACCTCTGCCCAATGCTGCCCCTTGAAGTCGGGGATAGCCTCGCATTTACTATGGTAGAATACAGAGTAGGGATTACTGGCAAGCGCTGTAAGTGAGTAGCATACAGAGAGAAACAGCTACTGTTGGGAAATAGCAGGACATCAAGCACCAACACAGAGTAACTCCAGAGCAACTGATTGTAGTTAACTAGGTAACTAAAACCAAACCTCACCTGTGCACCAACACATCATCTCCAAAGTGAGACGAAAGTGAGCCATTGGATGACTGACATGCGACGAAAGCGCACTGTGCTGCATCATTCCATCATCTCTCTCCTTGGGCACACTCCCAGCCCGGTTCACCACAATTCCCCCAATCTCAGTGTTGGCTGTTGGTAATATCTCGGTGAGTTGTTGTTCCGACCCGTCCAGGGCCTCCCACCGCCTTATCAGTTCTGCCATCGTCCAGCATGATCGCCAGGGTTTCCGTCTGAGGATTCACACTGTCTCCCGTCACTCATTCCCTCCTATTGTGTCTTTGGGTCACCTGTCAGCTAATCATGTCAAGGTAGAGGGTTGCAGCTTCGGCTGCCCTTTCTGTTGCTTCCTTCTTCTGGAGCAACGGCTTCAATCTTTCTCCATCCACTACCAACCGCTTCTCCGAGTCAACTGTCACAATGCCGGCCAAGCAGAAGAAAGGCAACAAGAAGAATAGCCACATAGCAGCGGAAAAGAGAAGGTCGCAGGCTTCTTCAGATGCGACCTCTGCAGCTTCTCCACCTGCCAAAGTTACCAATTATCGAGAAATCCATGTGAACGAGGCAGAGGCCTTGCGTTCGATCTATGGTGACGATTTTGAGTATGTGGAGACTCGACAGTCTGTTTGGAAGGTAAGCTTCATGCGAGCACTACCTGTGGTTTGCTTTATGTCTCTGGAAATTTGAGGTTCTTTCTCTGACCGTCTATATTTTGCTATGCAACAGCAATGCTCCGACATAGCATTTAAACTGCATTTGAAAGCGTCCCTTAATCGTGAAGTGGGGGTGGACCTGCTTGTTGAACTGCCGGCAACCTATCCTAAGACGACCCCGAACTTGACGTTGGAGTCGGCTGACGATTTACGAGGTGACGCGAAATCGCGCATTCGGAACATTGTCACTGCAAAGCCCAGCGAACTCGTCGGAAATGAGATGATCTATGAATTGGCCGTCTCGATTCAGGATATTTTGGAAGATGCTGCCGTGTTGCGCGCACAATCTGAAGCGGGTCAAAGCTTGGAAGAGGAACGAATGGCCCAGGAAGCCGCAGCCCTCCAAGAGGCCGAAAGATTGAGACAAGAGGAGCTAAAAAGGCAGCAAGAAGCCACCAAGGAAGAAGAAAAGGAATACGAAGCGGCGTTCAAGAACCAGATTAAGCTCAGGCAGCGTGAGAAAGAACAAAATCACCGTAGAAAAAGCAGAACCATGTTGGAAGATGCTGAGCATTTGGATTCAAACGAGGATACTCCTGGAGCTGTTACTTTTGACCGCCCTATGGTCGTTATTGATAATGAAGGACGGCAGTTGACTTTCAAATCCGTCCACGGCAGAACGTTAATTAACCACGCTCACTATCAGGAAACGTTTACCGTCAAACCGGTCGTTCCCGCCGCCGCGCCCCGTGTTCCTTTTCTTGTTCTCAAGGAAATCTTCATCCGTGAGAAGGAGACGAAGCTATCAGATGTAAGACAGCGGATAAGGTCAAGCGAAGACAAACTGGAGGTACTTCGGTCTCTCCGACATCCAAATTTGGTTGAGTTCGTGGGATACAAGATCTATAGCCCACTTGATCCCTATGTTTCTCATGACAATACTTGGCATGTTTCGGCACTTTTTGAATACGCAAACAAGGGGTCTCTCTCTGAACTTCTGGATATGGTTGGAACTTTGGCAGCAGAAAACGTGAAAGCCTGGATGATTCAACTTGTCGAAGGACTTGAGTTTTACCACCGACACCGGCTTGTTCATGGAAACATCCATTGTGCCCGTGTCCTTCTCTTTCGAAGCTCGACCGGTGGTACTGTGGTAAAACTGCTGGGAAGCATCGAAGAAGCCTTGCCGTTACCATCTAACGCAAAGAGGGCCTTTGCCGCTTCCAAATCTACCTTTTGGGTACCTCCAGAATTGATGCAGGAAGATGCGAAGCCAACCATTAAGACCGATGTATGGGATTTGGGTATTGTTTTTCTTCAGATGGGTTTTGGAAAAGATGTCTTACAACGGTATACTTCGGCCAATTCGCTCATCTCGTCATTGGACCTCTCTCAACCGCTTCAGGACATGGTACGTGAACTTTTTCAATCGGACCCTAAGAAGAGGCCGACCGCTTTTCAAATTCACCCCTTTGAGTTTTTCCGAGTCGATTCGCCTTTGATAATGCCGACAGCCACATCAAGCTCAGCACCTTTACCAAGGCGACCAAGAAGCGATTCACAAGGAGTGCTGCCAACATTTTCGCGCTACGAACATGACTTTGACGAAGTCGGCCGTCTGGGTAGAGGAGGGTTTGGCCAGGTCGTCAAGGCGAGAAACAAGCTCGACGGCCGCTTCTATGCCGTGAAAAAGATATCCCATAAATCTTCTGCTGCATTGAAAGATACCCTGTCGGAGATAGTGCTGCTCTCTCGCTTGAACCATCCCTATGTCGTGAGGTATTATACTGCTTGGTTGGAAGAAGACTATTTCGGAACCGAGGAAGATGCAGTTGAATCTACTGATCATGAACTTTCCCATCCTGAGATCGAGTTTGGCTATAGCACTAGCGGGCTCGACTTTATGAGTTCGAAAGGGTACCCGAAGATTGAGTTTGGATACGATAGCGATGAGCAGCCACCAGGAGACGATCAGGCGGAGGACCATACGGTGTCGAATGGCATTGCTGGCGAAGACGACGATGGCTATGATGATGGAGAACCGACACAATCCCTGACAGACGAGGAAGGTGACGAGCTTGAGCTGGTCGATTCGGGAAATTCACACCAAGTCACTTCCACTTTATATATCCAGATGGAATATTGTGAAAAGCATGTAAGTGACCCTAATTGCTTTGTGGCCCTCGGCACAGTGTCCTAACCGCCTCGCCTATACTCTTCGAGACCATGGATCAGAGACGGCCTACATGAGACTGTTGATGTGTCCTGGAGGCTCTTCCGACAAATACTGGATGGCTTGAATCATATCCATACGCATGGTATAATCCACAGAGATCTGAAACCCGGATAACATTTTCTTGGATGTCACCAATAATCCTCGCATTGGAGATTTTGGCCTGGCAACCCGCGGTCAATTCTCAACTGCTGTTCATTCGTCTTTCGCCCCAGATATCGGCGAAAGTTTTACACGAAGCGTTGGAACAACGTATTACGTGGCTCCGGAAATGAAATCCGCCGCAGATGGCCAGTATAATGAGAAAGTGGATGTGAGTCCTTCCCGGCGAAACTCTTGTAATGTCCCTTCGCTAATTAGTTAGATGTTTTCCCTTGGGATTATATTCTTCGAAATGTGCCATCCCCTCAATACTGCAATGGAACGGGATCATACTCTTCAAGAAATCAGGCAGAAAGACCATGTATTGCCCGAAACGTTCGAAATACCAGAGAAGGTCGTCCAAGGACAGATCATTGAATCACTCATCAGCCACCGCCCAGGCGAGCGGCCAGCTGCAATGGAGATTCTACAAAGCGGGAAGATTCCGTTGCAAGTCGAGGAAGAAATGTTCAAGAAGGCTGTTATGGGTTTACTATCAGATCCGAATTCTGCAGACTACAAAAAGATTCTCTCTGCAATATTTTCACAGCCATCTAACAAGTTTGAGGACTTGACTTGGGAAATCGATTCACGTGAATCGCCTCCTGTTAACGAAATGGTACTTCAAGGCGCAGTGAAGAGCCAACTCACCAGTATATTCCAGAATCATGGAGCGGTTGAGACAACCAGACAAGCGTTGTTCCCGCGCTCAAATTATTATGGTCCTGGAGTTGTCAGGCTGTTGGATCCAGACGGCAATCAAGTACAGCTACCCTTTGATTTGACTCTACCTAATGCTCGTTCGGTTGCCCGTCAACATCCGTCAATCGAAAAGATGTTTTCTTTTGGCACGGTATTTAGAGAGGCTGTTCATGGAGGACAACCGCGTGCGCACAATGAGGTTGATTTTGATATCGTTTCACACAATACGCTTGACCTTGCTTTGAAAGAAGCGGAAGCTATCAAAGTCCTGGACGAAGTCCTTGATGGCTTCCCTTCTTTGAGATCCGCACAAATGTGCTATCATCTCAATCACTCCGATCTCCTAGATACCATCATCGCTTTTTGCCGCATCAGTGTGAAGCAAAGGCCGTTGGTGAAAGAGGTAATCAGCAAACTCAATGTTGGGCATTGGACCATGCAGAAGATTCGAAGTGAATTGCGCGCGCCTGGCATTAGCGTTGCGTCAACTTCTATTGATGACCTAGCTCGATTTGATTTTAGAGGTAAGCACCCTTGCCGCTGTGGTCTAGAATACTCGTTGACTAGAAATGTGCAGACACTCCGGAAAAAGCTTGGAAACGATTACGCCTGATTATGGAAGACACCGAGTTTGTTGACAAGCTGACCCCTATCTGCGCTCGTATAGATGCAGTTATTGCCTACCTGAAAAGATTTCGGGTTAGACGCAAGATTTATATCAGTCCACTGAGCAGTGTCAACAACAAATTTTATGGAGGCAGTATCCTATTCCAGTGTATTTTTGACACTCGCAGAAAGGACGTCTTCGCGGCGGGTGGTAGATATGACAGCTTGATCCAAGAATTTCGACCGAAGATGCTTTCAGCACGATCTCAATGCCATGCAGTAGGATTTTATCTCAGTTTTGACAAGCTCACTGCGTCGATGGCGAACTTTGTCAAAGGAAGAACCAAAGGCTCCTCGAAACACGGGTCAGAACTCAGTGGTATTTGGCGGAAACGCAAGGTAATTTCCTAGCCATTTTAAATGAGAAGATACAACAATACTAAACCATTTAGTGCGATGTTCTTGTTGCGAGCTTCGATCCTACCGTTCTTCGAGCACTTGCACTTGATATTCTATCCGAACTTTGGACACATGATATTTCCGCGGAGCTGGCCGTTGACGCGAGCTCATTTGAAGAGCTTCTCACGCGGTACAAAGAGGATAACCACAGCTGGATAGTAATTGTCAAACAGGACAGTTTGGATCGAGGTTTGAAGATTAGAAGCCTTGCAAGAAAGGAAGAATTCGATGTCAGGTGTGGTGATCTTGTTCCTTGGCTTCGGACAGAAATTCGCAACAGAAACCAGAAAGAGAACGCAGAGGCTTCCAAAGCATCGAAGCAAAACGCTCAGGATCCGAACCCTTTGTTGAGTAGAGAAAGAGACACCGATGTGAGGATTATTGCACCAACACACAAACACAAGAAAACAAATCGACAGAATATTGTTGAGTCCGGTAAGTTATACTGTTATATTTTCTCCGTCTCCTTGGTAGGCCTAACCACCGACGTTTATGTAGCAATACTTCGAGCTCGTGAAACAACCGATAAAGCACTGGACGGTCCAATTGCAGCTATTGATGTACGCGATGACGTTCTAACCGCTATTCGCAATACTCGCCTGGCTGACGCCGATGCATGGCGCGTCGTCATCCAGAGTGTCCCTCTAGTCGAAAGGAAATACTTGACAGATTTACTAAATTTGCTATATGAGCTCGCTAATGAAAGCCGGGAGCAGGATGGGACAGAACGATATCGAAACGCCTTCATCTACAATTATCGTAACGGTAATTGTATCTATTATGACTTGACGCTTGGGAAATGATGGATGAATATTTGATGAATTTGACGATTTTTTCTTTATGATTTGAGATGAACTGCGCGATCTGAGGATATGAGATTATGGATTTTACTTTCTCAAAGCTAGGCTAGCATAGCTAGGCGGGAGGGTCTAATCATACAAGTATTTCGAAATATCAATCGCTGTCATCATCGCTGCCGTAAGCTACTAAAGGCCCATCATTTTGTTGATTTGAAGCCTGGATCGTCATATTCGACCCGCCGTATCCCTTTAGCGCCGCTAACGTTGCGCCTGAAAGAATGCCTGTCTCACTAGTTGCCGTAGGATTGACATCAGCAGCGGTATGTTGAGTAGGTGCGTCCTCGATCAGGTAAGGCTGATCAGGAGCTTCAAGCTGCCTATTTTCTGCGGTTTCTTCAAGCTCTTTGCTTCTAGCGTACCACACTTCATCTGGAGGCTCGTAACCCTGCAGCCCGAAGCCTCCTTCAATCTTCTTCCTTTTCCTAGCTTCCGGATCTCTGCCTTCCAATTCTGCGACAAAATCCGCAGGTAGCGCCCTTCGAATTGCTTCTGCTGCCTGCTCGTCAATTCGCTGTGCCTCACGCTTCTGCGCCGCTGGATTCGGGTCGACAGTGGCCCATCGTACGTTGAGAATCTCATTATGGTCCAAACTTTGATGCGCCATTGACTCCTTGGCGAATTGCGAATTGGCTTCATTCGTATATGTGACGAACGCGACGCCTCTATTGTTGAGGACCCGGACGCGATCAAGCTGGCCCCATTCCGAAAAGTGTCTCGCGACGACTTCTTCGATGTCGTCGGTGACGTGTATCCTTCCCACATAAAGCGTCCTGTTTTGTCTCATAAAGCTCCCCACGCCACCCATATCGTCTCGATAATCGCTGAATTTGTCTCGTCCAAAACAGTCGACATTTGGATTGAACAGATCGTGGATGCCCGGCAAACGATGGAGGTATTCGCACTCGTGACCTTTAGGACAGATTCCTCGCGCAAAGTATAAACAAAAAAATGACCCTGTTACTTTATCTGCTCGTGTATATCCGCTATCTGTCGCAATGCAGCACCGTGAAGGTGCCTTGTGTTTGGACAAGTATTTATCTTCACGATCGCCACCAGACCATTTATTGTACCAAATGTTGTAGATCGTACCGGTTTGGGGCGGAGGTTCGGATTTGATTGTCGCTGGATCAATCTGCACACGGGCAGGACGTCGTTTACGGCGGATTACGCGCTTTGTTTTCTTTTCAGGGTCTTCGGAGGGTTCAGTGGTGGCTAGGGAGCTGTCGGATTGCTTGGTTAAGGCGGAGGTTGTTGGCGCATCATTTTCTAGGCTAGTAACGTCAGCGGAAGGGCCAGCGGGAAGTGTCGTCGCGGTGGGGAGTATTGAATCTGTAGATGCCATGGTGTCTATGAAATTTAGCAGGGCCTGACTCCTGAGTGACTGGATATTCAAAAGTGAGCCTGATGGAAGCTCTGGGAGATAGTTAATTTTAGCTAGTTTTGATGCGCTGGGTTAGTAAGCAGCGATCACCAATGACGATCCCCGGCTGCCCATATTGGACTTTTATATGGACGGTCACTGAGGGGTTGTTTGAGTATTTCTACTACTTTCATAACTGATAATTGCGCAAAACGGTCGCCTCTGTTGCTTCAAAGTGTGTACGCTTACGGTGGTGTTTGCGTCAAGTCACCGCCAAAATGGTGAATATCACGGATAGGATCAAGGAGTGAGCGTAGCCACCCGAAGCGATGAGGAGCTTCGAGAATTCTAACTGGTTCGGGAATCTCTAGGATTGAGGAGGAGATGCGGAGGACTCAAAGTAATACTTTTGCCTTTAGCAAATATTTATCAGTTCATGCTAATCAATTTTACAGAAAATAAGGCGACCGGTGCGTAATGCTAAGCTGTTTAGTACCATTCTACTCTTGCCGTATAGCGGTATATTGACCTTTTCAGAATACCATCTTGGCCTTTTGAAAGGGTGCGTACTATCTACTTGGCTACCTTTCGTTGTTGAGCCGATCTTTTATGCATGGCGTGATGTCGAGTCGGATGGTAGCGAATCTCCTGAGCCATTGAAACGCGAATCCATCAGTTCATTTATCTTTGAGGGAAGACGGATATGTTTGTTGGTATTTACAGCCATCTGACAGATGACTTTGACATCACAGGAAACTTGCCAGGCTGCGCGCACAACTTCTCGAACCCACTGCCGGTTCGGGATCTAGTGGTGGTACGGGATTTGACGTTAGCAAGAGTGGTGACGCAAGAATTTCTCTAGTGGGATTTCCGTCAGTCGGGAAATCTACGTTCCTATCAAAAATTACCAAGACGAAGAGTGAAGTTGCTGCGTACTCTTTCACGACTCTCACGGCCATACCAGGCGTGCTCGAGTATGGAGGAGCTGAGATTCAAGTGCTCGATCTTCCTGGAATTATTGAAGGGGCTGCAGAGGGGAAAGGGCGAGGAAGGCAGGTTATTTCTGCAGCTAAGGTGAGCTGGGTCATCGGGTTGGCTTATTAAATCGTGGCGCTGAGCAACAGATAGACTAGTGATTTGATTTTGATGGTGCTTGATGCTACGAAGCGAGCTGAACAAAGGGCACTTCTGGAGGCTGAACTGGAAGCCGTTGGCATTCGGCTGAACCGTGAACCCCCGTAAGTGAGAAACGTCGCTTGTTCATTAGCTTTTCGTCGAGCTGACGATGCTTGTATAGAAACATATACTTGAAGGCAAAGAAAGCCGGAGGAATGAAGATTACATTCCAGGCGCCGCCCAAAAACTTGGATGAGAAAATGGTTTACAATATTTTGCGAGATTATAAGATGTTGAACTGCGAAGTCCTGGTCCGGGACGAGAATGGTTGGTTCCAGGTCGACCCGACTTTAAGACGACAGCATTCATTGACAGTCGATTAGCTACCGTCGATGATTTTATAGATGTGATTATGAAAGATCACAGAAAGTACATCAAGTGGTAAGTTTTGTGATGCGGAGTTTGGGCTCGGCTATAGAAGCAGGCTGACATCGCCGTAGCCTATACGTTTACAACAAGATTGACAGCGTTAGCCTCGATTTCCTAGATAAACTAGCCAGAGAGCCCAACACGTGCGTGATGAGCTGCGAGTTGGACTTAGGCATCAAGGATGTTGTTGATAGATGTTGGGAGGAGCTGCAGCTGATTCGATTATACACCAAACGGTAGGTGGCAGCGCCGCTCGCGTCAAACGTGGTGGGCGACCTTGGCTAATGGCTTGCTATAGCAAGGGAGTCGAACCCGATTTCACAGAGGCGCTCATTGTTAGGAATCAGTCTACCATTGAAGATGTTTGCGACCAAATCCACCGCACCCTCAAGGAAACATTCAAGTACGCACTCGTATGGGGCCAGAGCGCCATGCATGTGCCGCAGAGAGTCGGCCTATCCCACATTGTTGCGGATGAGGATGTGGTGTCAATTGTTACTAAATAACTTGCTGAAAATCGGCCAAAAAAAATAACCGCCGTTTTGCCAAGCGATGTTTCCTCCGTAGCTTGCTGGTGACAGGTTGGTGATTGTTAGGCAGCGCCGCAGCGCCGTCGGGCCCGGCGCTTCGGCACATCACGCCCAAGCCACTCAATTATGTAGGCTCCCAGGAGAGCAATCAGAGAGCAATGGTGTATCTCGAATATCAAACTTGTAGTGTTTCACGCTCTCTGTGCCATTTTTCAGCGTGGTCAAGAGCAGGCAAACAGTGAGCCTTGCGCTGTGTATAAAAGAACCTTCGCGAAGATTCGACGGCAGTTCGGCTGGTTCTCGTCACTGGTGTCACGTCACCATGCAGCTCTTAAACCGGGGCAAGGAACCATCTCTCTCGACGAACTTCTCTCCAGATGGGTAGTTAACTAACTACTAATTATTCTGCGCTGGCCTTACATTCTGGAAGTTTACCAATTGCTTCGATTTGGAAAAGACAGCAGCTGTCTGCTTTCTTGTCCTTTTGCCCACCAAGGCGCTGACATCATCCGAACTTAAACTGACGGCTCTTCCCTCCCACTGATTTGGCTGTTGAGTCCGCTGTGTGACCAAGTCGACAAACTACACTGTCGTCCAATTTCGATATCGAAGACTGCACTGCTTTCTGGGAACTCCAGACCCTCTATCTCCTTTGATCTCAAAAGCATCATATAGATATGGTCGCCGAAACAAAGCTCTACGATTCCCTGGGGGTCCAATCCACTGCCTCTCAAGATGAGATTAAGAAGGCTTACAAGTATGTTTAGCCCTTTTGTAGCAGTCTTCTACGAGAGATGCTTTTGCTGATTTAACTGTTTTGTAGGAAGCAAGCATTGAAATGGCACCCGGATAAAAATAAAAATAGTCCCCAAGCGGCTGAGAAATTCAAAGGTTCGTCAATACTCCATCTCCCCGGGGGGGAGCAGTTCAGCTGAGCTCCCTTGCTAACTAGCAGGATAGAGGTTTCACAAGCCTATGAAATTCTTTCCGACCCCGAAAAACGCAAGGTTTACGATCAATATGGCTTGGAATTCTTGCTTCGTGGCGGCGCAGAAGCTCCTCCCGGAGGCCCCGGTGGGGTCCCCTTCGAAGGAATGCCCAACGGCTTCCAAGGATTTGGCGGAATGCCTGGCGGCGCACGAACCTTCCACTTTACGTCAACTGGCGGACCTAGTGGATTCAAGTTCAGCGAACCAGAGGATATATTTTCCAGCTTTGCGCGTAGCGAAGGCGCGGATATCTTCTCGCTTCTGAATAGCCTAGGAGGAGGTGGAGGCGGAATGGGCGGGGGCGGATTTCGTTCAGCAGGCGGAGGACAGCCCCGATTTAGAGCGGCGAATGAAGGGAGACGGCCGCCGACACCGGAAGTCACGACGGTAGAGAAGCAGCTGCCGGTCACGTTGGAAGATATTTTTAAGGGCGTGCACAAGAAAATGAAGATCAAGCGGAAGACCTTCGATGAAAGGACCGGAAAGCGGAGCGTTGAGGACAAAATCCTGGAATTCGATATCAAGCCTGGGTTGAAGGCTGGCAGTAAGATCAAGTTCAAGGGGGTGGGAGATCAGGAAGAAGGAGGAACACAGGATCTCCATTTTATTATTCAAGAGGTAAGTTTCCATCTATCTTCGACTCCATGCGAATGCTATTAACAATTCACTATTTAGAAAGAGCATCCCTGGCTGAAGCGTTCTGGAGACGATCTGGTCACGACGGTCGAGATTAGCCTCAAAGATGCTCTCACCGGTTGGAGCCAGACGGTGAACACCATTGATGGTAAACAGCTGCGAGTTTCGGGAAGCGGTCCTACGCAGCCCGGATACGAAGAAGTTTTCCCCCAACAAGGCATGCCTAAGCCGAAAGAGCCTGGCCAGCGCGGCAACTTCATCGTTCAGGTCAAAGTCAAATTTCCCACTAGCTTGACGCCTGCTCAAAAGACGAAACTCAGGGAAATTCTCTGAGAAGTCTTTTTTTTCCCTCATTTCCTTTGCTTGCATATGATGAAACTGAACATGAACGGATGCATGCTCCGGCGTTTAGGGTGAAATGTCATGGTGTTTTTGGCAAACTTGTTTTGGAATGGTTTTATTTTGTGCCATGTTCCCGTTCTTACTTTTTCACTTGTATAAAACTAGCTTGTTTATTCCTTTTACTTGTGGCTCAAGTTGGCCCTGGGTATGCAGCTGATAGATGTTTACGAGTGGATAGCTTTGTTTCTTCGGTAGATTAGTTACATATTATGCTTTCCGAACTGATCTGCAGAAAATGGAGTTCTCTCAAATGGTAAACGATACAAATGCCGTGTATATCGCAATGCTGGAACCTAACTATGGCTGCTCAAATCTCTCTGTTTGAACTGGTTGAGTTTGATATTGATGAGCTGACGTCACCCACAAGCTTGATGTTTGCTCTGTTTGCTCACCTCGCTGGACCTACTGTTTGCTTTGTTTGCATTCTTGGTTAACCTCATCTTTGGGTGGTTTGGATGGTAGAGGAAGATAATTGATCCATTCCGATGGTCCAGAGCTAAAGGAAGCTGATCTCATCCGTCCGGGGTTAACTAACCACTAGCTACCACCTAGTTAATTCATAAGAAACTTCAATGACCTCAGTGTTATGAAGTTGGCATTCTCCATACCATATTCCCTTACAAAATGAAAAGAAGAGTGACCTTTATTCATGATGCTGAAGGGGAATTTGATCCCAAACGAGCTCATCTCACATCTGATTCATTATCCATCCAATTGTTGGATGCCGCTCGCCAGGAGAGACTAACATTTGGGTTCCAGGAGCTTCCAAATGAGGTATTCAGAGCTAGCTTTATGAAACAGTTTGAATACTAATGGTGGAATGCCAATAGATTCAGCAAGTCCTTAGGCAATGCGTTGAATTGCATATTCGTTGGGCGTCGGAGCACCCATATCCAGCCATCCCACCACTTTCCAGCAGAATATCCCCAGGCTTGCATGTTACCCTTTCAGCCTTGACATTAAATCGATCGTATGTCTCTGCTTAACACCTCGTATAATATTGGCAGCCTAACTAGCGATTGTCAAGTCAGTATCTATGTCCTTTATTACAGAAGGCCTTTGGCCAAGATGTAAATTGCACTGTCCCAGAAGTAAGTCCTTACTGAACCTGTTGAATCCTCTCACTGGATTAAAACCTAACGGCTGGTATCCGGTAGATTTCATTTACGTCCTCGGGAGACATTTTGAAGTCGGGCGCATTACCATCACTCCAGTTTCATCAACTCCTTCCTTCACTTGAACAATTTGCTACATACATACGGGAGGCAATTTGCCCAAAACAAGACATTATATGTCTGAACGGCGCCGCATTGATTCGTTCTGCCGATACGCTTGACATAGATTATGATCGTGTGCAGAATTCGTTCGTTGTCACCGCCTACTGGTCCAAAGCAACAGGTAAAGACGGATGGAAAGATACCATATATCACGAGAGGTCAAGTGAAGACAAAACCGATATAGGTATTCTGGCTACACAACAAGATCTGGAACCCGATGAGGTCAGAATCGGTGGCTTTTTGGCCATGGTTGGCCGGGATGAAGAATTAAGTATGTCTTTCGTGCCCTAGGTCCGAAATGGTATCCTGACAGCACCATTAGAGCCGGCTCTGTTTTCTTTCCCCTCCCGTCACCACTCTTTGCCAGACTCGTCAACATATAAAGCTCAGTTCAACTCACCCACTGGTCTTCACCCGACACTAAGTCTCTCAATTCCTCGATCTGCTCTCTCGCCGCCTCCTGCTCCTGCAGCTACGTCATGTGGACTGTATACTTATATAACCCTCCCCTCTTATATTTTTGCAGATGAATACCAACTATCCACCGCCGATTCTCTTTTCCTTGAGTCACATAATATACGCGGCCTGCGGCACATCGCTGGAGAAGCGGATCTTGAGGCGCCAGACTGGATAATCCAACGTTGGGGCTCACAGCTGCTGGTGGAATTAGCCACAACAAACCCCGAGGAGATCAACGTCGATACCAAAAACCACGAAGACTGGAAAAGCACGATTCCGTTACATTTGCGGTATCTCCATCCCTCTAGCTCTGGCTATCGAAACATCTCCATGCCTTGGCCCATAGTTTTCTGGGCTTGCACGTACCAGGACCAGGGTAAAATGGGCTATAACCCATTCGATCGAGCGAACTTAAGCTGGGACGATTTATTTGCCCCAAAAACGTTGTTTTACCAATTCCATCCCTCTCCTGAACCGAGAGGTGAAAAATTAATCGAGACTATCCAAGTTCCCGCTCTTAAGATGAACAAGGATACCGATTTTATAGCGAATCAGGCGATTGAGTTCGGTACCATTGCTGTGGTTTTGCTTGGATTTCTATGGGTATCATGGAAGTTGGGTTTTGTTGCCCGATCTACAGGAGTTCAAAGCAACCAGAACCAGACGACTCGAGTAGCTGGGAGCAAAAAGACCCAGTAACAGCTGACTTTGTATTATTAGTTAATAGCTACGATATTCATGACGCAAGGTATCGAATAATTGCTTTCTGAGCTGTGGTTCTACTTCCTCCCAATCTACGTGGGAGCTTGCGCGCCAAGGTATATCAAGGAAATGGTATAAAAGATTTTAATCCAGATATTATTCCTAACTGCGTGGCCCATAATAACTTTTCATAAGATGTAAGAAGCATCCTATCGAAACTCGTCGCATACAGGCATTATCATGAGGTAGTAACGAGAAACGAAAAAGCCTCGGGGCGGACAAATAATATAACGGATTCGAGAAAAAGTAGAATGCAGTCATCAACAGCTCTTTTTTTTTTCTTTGGCAAATCTTTACTAAAGAAAATGTCAATGTGGCATAGAGAAACCTCGAACAAGGGAGAAGAAGAAGAAGAAAGCAAACAAAAACGTCTAAGCAACAAACCACGCAATCGATCACTTGCTAGTAACGCCGATACATAAAAAGGCACATTAAATAAACTTGCCCGTCAAACATAAGACGTATGTGACCCGATAATGTCCAAAACGACGCCGATCGCTCACTATAAGGTGTATTCAGGGGCAAATGCGGTCAATAGGAGTAGAGGAGGGGGATGGGTTTAGAGGTTAAAGCAGATTGTAAAGAACAAGGCAGCTCAGAAATCATTAACAAAGAATAAAAGGGTAGGTATGCATTCTGGAAATGATACACAATATGAATATGGATCACAGCAAACCAATGTTCATCCAAACTGTGGTGTACAGGCTGCTATGATAAACGTAGACGGGAAACCAGCCATAGCCACGAGCCATGTAAAGTCGAATTTCGTATATGGGGTATGTTACCAAAGGCTGGTAGGCCAAAATATGGACTATCAAACCAAAACGCCAAAATTGTAGAATCCAAATGGGCCTCAGCAAAATGGATCAGGGTGGGCGCCCGCCGTTCACATAAACCAATACCGTGCGAACTTCGAGATGCTTCATAAGGATGGGGAAGAAAAGAAAGGATGCCAACCGGGATTATCAACCAAAGCACTAAAAGTCGTCTCGCGTAACTCTGTAGCACGTGCCAAATTTTCAAAGAGGTAGATAGACAAAAGGAAGTAGTTCATTATGCAGCGCGTGTTTCAGAACTTATTTCGGGGTCAAAGTTCGCTAGACAACGACGACCTCTCCTTCAGCATCCGCTGGATCTGAAACGGTTATTTCAGCGTACTTGCTTCCAGAAAGAAGCAGGGAGTCTTCATCCAACGCGATAGCGCTATCATCGTTATTCAAACTAGCTCTCCCTGCCATGAGCGTCGAGTCATCTGCGGTAGTAGTGGTACTCTCATTTTTGTTCGTAGCAGCCGAAGAGCTTGCTTCATTTGACTGTTCAGGAGCTAGAGTTGAGGATTGTGTTGCCGATTCTGCGTCGGTTTCTGCGGTTGCCAGAAACTGATGTAATGTTTTGGGACTATAATGCATAAACCCCCCTTTTTCGGCTTGCCATTGTATCATTTCCATAAAGAAAACTTTTGTCATCCACCAAGCACTAAAGCTTTCAGCCCCTTCAAGCGTGAATCGATGAAGAATAGATGTCCACATGGCGTCTGCCTTGTCAATGATGCATTGGGGAGCATGTCCAGGAAACAGTTCCGGGAGCCGTAGAATGAATGAAATCCAGCGATCCGGAAAGCTTGTATACTCGCGGCCCTCGGTTGTTGAGTAGGTAAATTTTCGGAATCCTAAATCGTGATCGTAGAGCTCAACTTCAGCACCAGATTGGTCGAGGGGCCCTAATAAGGATTTCACATGCTCCTTGAAGATATCGACAACCCCTTTCAGAGAGCATCGAGGAATCCTCGCTTTGCAGACCATGTCCGTTATATCAAGGAAAGATTGGAACTCTTCCCACATTTTTGTTCGATTTTCAATGTGGCAGAGCCAGGCAGCAGCAGAATTTGCACACTGGTTAACATCCAACATCCTCCTAAGAAGGTGACAAAATAGACGAGCCGGAACAATTCGCGCGGATGATACATGTTCGGGTTGCGATTTGAATGTATCCTCAATATGTGGAACAAGGCGTCGAGAGATAGAGGTAAACGCTTTCACAACAGGCTCTGGTATGACTTGGGTCGTCAAAGGGGCAATAAAGGCCACCATTTTCTGGTACATCAACCAATCGCACTCTTCTATCCACGGCACAATGGCGGGATGAACTAGTAGTTTGTGGACAGGAACAGTGAGAGTTCCTTGAAACGCAGAGATGTGGCGGAAGAAATTCTTCTCTTTGCAGAATCTGAAACTATCAATCACCGATATGGAATGAGATCGGTAGAGAGCCATGAGAGCGTCAGCAACATCAGAATCAGAACCTGGAGGCAAGTAGCCATGAATGCTTGGGAGGCGCAAGGTCTCATTATCAACAGCAGGAGATTCATCTATTCCAAAATGAAGAAGGAGATGAAGCTTTTCCTGAGCTGTCATAGCCGAAAAGTCAACGTCTGAGATGGAACCAGGCTGAGGAGTGTAAGGCGAATGGCATCCACAGTGATGATGGGAGAGGGAACCGCTTGGAGCGTGTGATGAACGAGTATCATTCAAAAGCCGTGATGTTGTCTCCAGGGGACTGTGGGTAGGGTTCACACTAGAACAATCAGCAGTTAGAAGTAGGAACACTCCAAATGAACACAAATATTTTATACCTTTTTTCTTTCGTGTAGCCCTCCTGGCTATCTTCGCCGGTAGTTTCCGTCGCTTTGTCCCCAGATTCGGTGGAATTCACATCTGGTTTTGGCTCTGATATGATAATTGATAAATCCACATAATGGTATTTTGACTCCCCCCGAACGCCAAGTCGTCGAGTTTGTACGTTAGGAAATATGATCCGGACCAGCTTGCCAAATGATGCCGGATTCAGTACTGAGACACGCTCAGTTCCACATTTTTCGGCATAACAGCAATATACCCGATCTCTGCGGACTGACCCTGTACTTTTGCGGCAATTCTCCCGCAACCTGGACAATTTATCAGTATAAAAGTCATTCAAGCTAGGTATTAGGTACACACACCAAATCATGGCAAATACTTGCTTAACCTTTTCCGACTTACCACCAGCCCCTTCATGCTTCTGGACTTCCATGGCCATTTGATGCAAAGTGTATCCATCGTACTGCCGCAGTAGCCTTCTCAGCTCATTGTCGTTCGCAATTGACGAACTTGTGCCCCTCTTCTTACGAGGCCCTTGTTCAGAGCCTTCGTGCTCTTCTAGGAGATGATCGGGGATTTGATTCTCTACCCCGTCGAACAAATTTGGATAATGAACTGGATGCATTTCCCCCGTCATGCCATGGTGCGATAGATCCGCAGGTAGCCCGTGCGCTGTGGGATTGTGCACGCTCATATCTGGGTTTTGATAATGAACATCCATACGGGGTTTAGCCGAGTTATGGTTTTCTTGCAGAGCGGGGTCAAGCAGAGTGCCAGCATCAGAATTAGCAAGTTGGTCGCCAAATCGCATTATCATCTCCTCTGGGTTTCCATGGTAGACTGGCTGAGATGATCCAAACTGGGAACGCATATAAGGTTCATATCCCTCAGGTACTTGTTGCTCAGGCATATATTGTGTGCTACACGACTGAATGCTTGCAGTCGATCCACGCGACCTGGGTGGCCGACTAAATTTCGACGCTGCGGTATTCGAGCGCGACCTCCCTGGCTCAGCTGTGCCCTGGCGGCTTCGTGTTCGCTTTTGGCCTCTCTGAGGTGGAAAAGGGTCTCTTCCTACATCACAGCGGTTGTGGTTGTCAGTCAAGGAACACCCAACCACGTTGCCAAAAACGAGAGGCACCACTCGATCCACCAATCCTGGTCTGGGCCTTACCCGTATCAGGTACCATTTTCACACCAAACGAATGACAATTGATCGTGCTTTTTGCTCAGAAACCTCGCTTCTGCGGGTTTCGCTTTCCCAACGTTCTCGAAGCTCGTCTCGCCTTTGATTCGGCACCCTCTACACGCGCGAGGCGCTGCGGTAAAAATAATTACGTCAGAGAGCGACCAGTCAATAAAGAATACCATAAAGCGCCGGAGCCAGCACCCGAGCCTCGATGTCGCCGTTCCGATGTCGACCAACTGACGTTGTGATGCAGCCTCTTCACAGCCTGTAAACAACTGTTTGTTGATGGGGAAACGCCGCTGTTCGTTTTCGGTTTAGGCGGCCAAATCACGGGACCCGCCTGGTGGCTGGTAGGGCGGTCGGGTGCGGCAGTACGGGTTTGGTCACCAGCCACGCGCAGGTCAGAAGGACCCGGCTATGATTGGCTAGGCTGGGCATGCCGCCACACATGATCCACTCACGTGTAAATTACATACGGGTCACGTACAGCAGACCACGGCACACACGAGACTGGGCAATAATGCTCATATTATGGGAAGTGAATTGGAAATATTGGCAAAATTGGCTATTACGTCTTGTTCCTCCTTGCTTTCTTCCCCAAACACCAACTTCCTTTCCATCAACCTCCAAGCTCACCTTGTCTCAACCTCGTCTACTCGTTGCCGAACAAGCTGATAATCTCTTTCTACATTGGCCATAGCCCCCCTTTTTGATTCTCTTATTTCCCTCGGGTGTCGTTAATTGTACCAAACGTTAGCCACCATGTCGTTCCAGGACCGAGCACAGCATCAAATTGCTCAGATTGACAAAGAGGTCAGTGCAGTGGAAGCCCTTACGTCTCCCCGCCATCAATTAATTTGGATTTTTGAGCTTTGCCGCCCCTTTATGCGAGGAAAGCAAGCTCTTGGTTGTCGTAACATTCTATCAGTAGCCGCTGACATCGAACTACAATAACTAGCTCTCAAAGTATCCTGTCCTCAACAATCTCGAAAGGCAGACATCTGTTCCAAAGGTCTATGCTTTCTTGGGCCTTGTCGGCGTTTACGTCTTCTTGGTGTTCTTTAATATCGCAGGGGAATTCTTGGTCAACTTGGCTGGTTTCTTAATTCCTGCATACTATTCCCTCGACGGACTCTTTACGACTACTAGATCCGATAACACACAGGTAAGCCGACGTGCTTCGCTTTATCTTGGCTGATATATACTGACAAATGTATGAAGTGGGTTACTGTTAGTTACCTTACTCCTCATTTACCCCATAGGCATAAAGCTAATCACGCATGAATAGTACTGGGTGGTATATGCTTTCTTGACTGTCGTTGAGAGTGCTATCAGCGCCGCTTATTGGTTCCGTATGGCTCGCAACAGTATATCATCATCTTTGACATTGGTTCTAACCGAATATAGCATTTTACTACTTTTTCAAGTTTGTCTTTATCATGTGGATGGCCCTTCCACAAACCCGGTAAGTAAACTATTAATGATAACGAACCCAGACCTGATGTTGGTATAGTGGTGCCCATATCGTCTTCGGCTCCTTTATCCAACCCGTCTTCTCCCGTTACTTCCAGAGCGGATCTACCTCTTCGAACTTGCGCTCGCAAGCCAATCAGGCAACCAAGGAACACTCTACCTAAACAGTCTCGGAAGATGTTGGGGGCTGGCAAGTAAGGACGTCGAGGTCTGCAAAATTCCATCTTGACCTGTCCTAAAATTGCTCCGTTCTCATGGAGTACAAATGCTGGCCATCGTAAGGCAGGAGCCCTTCAAGTGGGGCGAAGGGCCGAGGGGATGTAGTTGATTATATACATGTGCGTGGTGACTGCGTGCTCCACACCAGACGAGATTTGACGTTTAGAACGGGTAGTTGTTTTTTGGTGATTGTCTCGTTATTTTGTATCATCCTTGGTTTTGCGAGGTTTCTTGTTCATTATGTTAATTTTGATATGACATTATCCATGTCTCCGTGTATCGTAGCTCGCGGGTCACAGTTCCTCTGCGCCTGGTCAACGTTCTTGTAAGATTGAGGTTGAAAATCCACCGCATAAATACCAAGATTCGCGTTTTTGAGAGAGATCGCTCAATAAAGACCAAGCCTGTTGCTCCAATTATCTGTCTTGGGATTTAGAATGATCTGGTACGGAAACGGATTTGCATCGCTTGTTGTGATCGGCGGGATGTGATCTTTGCCTTGGTTGGCAATAGCAAGAATTTTGAAAGCAGCCTTTTGCAACATTTTTTCCATAGCTTTGCGTACTTTGGCACGTTCTGCGAACCCACGTTAGACGAACAAGGCGTAACATTAGGAACTAAAGAGTACTATAACGAACCTGACTCTGTTCTCGGAGTAGCGATTGTCACGTTGACTGTCCATATTTCCCAGCACACCTCTTCTTCGTTTTTCCCAGCCAACCCTCCAAACCACGTACCAGCTTTTCTTCGCTTCTTTTCGAAGAACTGTACAGCGATGCGGCCGCGAACACCGCCGTTTGGCGAGTTCGAAGTAGAGGAGAGGTGTTGTCGAATTAATGTATTGATACGGGAATCGATCAAAGTTTCGAGTTCGACATCGTCGATTGCGGGGAGTGTCAAGTCTAGAACGTCAAACGTGTCGGGGCGAACACAGGGGAAATATCGGTGGAAGAAGATTGTGTGTAGGATTCCTAGGATAGGTAAAGACAGTTGTTAGCCTCGATTATCCCGCTTTGCTTTGTGCTATTTGTTGCTGCCTGAACTTTGAGCGATGCAACCTGAAGTCCTAATCTTGCAGGCTCTCCGATTTGAGGTCGCGGCGCAGGAATTATGTCATAGTAAGAAAGAAAGGAAAAGCCGGGGCCATGCGCTCACCTTTGAGGACATCTTTCACGGACGCGGGGTCAGCGAACACCTCGATTATGTGCTCGGGCGGTTTTCGCAAATCCATCTGGGCGGCGGGTGTGTTCTGTTGGGGAAAGGATATTTGACCCAGCGGCGTATGAACCAGCTGGGCCGGAAGGACGGGGAAGATTGGGGTGCTTTTAATTGATTCTTTGGTTCACGCGGGGTGGCAAGAGCATATAGTTATGGTCGCCAAAGTCAACTTTTCGGGTCTTGCTTTGCGTTTCACACCACCGCTTTGCTCGAGAGTGAATTTGGTGGGGAGTTTGGGTGTACCTCGAGATTGGGCTGAGTAAGACTTTCCGCCCCTCCATTTAGCAGCGTTTAGACTTTCTTCAGCGCTGGAAAGCTTCCTCCGACCTTGGATTGCGGCTGTTGAGGCCCATGCCAATACAAATGTACGTGAGTAGTATCTTAATACCGTGGTCGAAGGAGACAGGTTTTCCCAGTTTCAAATAGCCGGGAACAGGCGATACATAAAGCATTTGAGCTGTGCCATTGGGGGATGGCGCTGGTAGCAACCGCGACAGTGGGAGACCCCCCCGACTCAGGTGGATTTCTCGCATTGCGGAGTTCGCCGGCCCTTTCACGCAGCAACAAAAGATGACGGAATACGAACGTGGTGAAGGCCCGAAAGGCCGTCCCCAGCTCAATGCAAGAGATAGAGCTGTGGCTGGTGAAGGTGTTTGCACTAACGACATCATGCGTCACCAGCCACTGCTGACAAAGATAGCCGAGGTCACTTTGTTGCATCTGAGCTCCGATTGAGGAAGTTGATTCATCTGAAGATCACCTCGACACTGTCCAACCCAGGTTTCTGGAATATTTAACTCCATCACTTACAGTGGAGCATAACTCCAGTCATTGAGCCTTTTGCGCTTCACGCTCTTGTGTTGGTTATGGTAGCTGCAGTATCATAGTACCCCTGTTCCAGCTCCTAGACCTCTGTCGCCGCAATGATTAGTGCCACAAAACGCTGGCTACGGAGGCATCGCAGTGGGCTCGCAATCGGGGCGGGCGTTGTGGGAGTTGGTTATCTGGCTACACAATATGTCTTCTCTAAGATCTCAGAAGCCAGCGAACGGATGAGTAGCGAGAGGATAGCGCGAGAAAAGTGAGTCCCTGAGCCCGTCCATGCAGCGGGAAATCGATGCTAACATCACTTCTACCATTCAGTCTCCGTCGTCGGTTCGAACAAAACCAAACCGATTGTACATTTACTGTCCTTGCCCTCCTTCCAACAGCGACAGAGAATATCCTTGGCGCACTACCAGTCGAACAGTTGACCAATGAGCTCCAGCTCAAACGGGCAGCTAGGTTAGCCAGGCTTAGCGGAAGTGAAGTGCAAGGCTCAGAAGTGAGCTCGGGTCCGCCGAGTATGACAGACGACGACGTTTCAAGTCTCAGGAGTGACAACTATGTGCATGCGAGCCAAGTGGTTGACGCAGCTACCGGAGACCAAGGGCAAAAGGCAAGATCTCGGATACAGTTGTGGAATGATTTGAAAATCAACTGTGAGCCCCTATCCGCTTATTGTTTATATTGGCTGAGCGTCTGATCATTTCAGCCCTGACGAGGTCATTCACATTGCTATACACGCTCTCGCTCCTCACGCTCCTGACGCGCATTCAATTGAACCTCCTTGGCCGACGAAACTACCTTTCCAGTGTCGTGGCACTTGCATCCCCTCCACAGAATCCGTCTACAATCAGCCTCGAAGATGATGACAACCCGGACCAATCATTTGGCAACGATTTTGAAACGAATAGACGATATCTGACATTCAGTTGGTGGTTATTGCATCGAGGGTGGAATGACTTGATGAACGAAGTTGAAGCTGCAGTCAAAGATATATTTGGAGGAGTAAATCCTAGGGAGGATATGAGCCATGAAAGGCTTTCAGAATTGACTCTTGCCGTTCGGAAAAGGGTCGAAGGCGCTACAAGCCAAGAGCGACGGTACGTGTTTAAACTGCATTCCAGATTGTATAATTGTCCTGATAGGAATAGTGTACGGAAATGGCTTCCCTATTTGCTACCTCCGCAAGAGCAAGAAGACTATGTACTCCGGGAGTCAGGCGTCCTCTCCGCCGCAGAAGCGTCTCCGCAGAGCGCCGTAACCCTGAGAACCCTCCTTGACGAAACCGCCGACCTAATCGACTCACCATCATTTACGCACGTTTTTTCTCTATTGAACAATGAAGCATTCTCTTATCTCATTGACACCAAATGCGCAGCAGAAGCCTTCAAAGGGTCGTGCCAAACGCAACAACGAGAGCAGTCTTTGCCGTTTTCCTCCGCAGCCACGATAGTTCCCGTTGCTGATTCGCCAGCTCCGAAAGCAAAGCTCGCCTCTATTTTAGCCGTCATATCTCGCCAGGCGCACGTCATAGGCAATGGCATCAGCCCACCTAACGAGTATCTATCGATAATGGAGCGTGAGGTCCGTGAGTTAGAGGCTTTTGCGGCGGTTATCTATAGCAGTAACTTTGACATACACCCTTCGGTTTCCCTTCTCGAGACCGAAGCAGTTTCGGTGAATCCCTCGGCCGATGTGGAGGATCCCCCAGGCGGCGAAGCAAGTATCATTGAAATGCCAGCGTCAGTGACGAACCTTGATCAGAAGGAAACTGCCATTCGTTCCGTTGAGACGGGGGACGAATCAGGGTTCGAAAATGTGTGGGGAAAGGCTGTTGAACAGCGTTGACAGCGTGTTAATACTGACATCTCTTTGATGAGTTCACGATACTTGCATGTATTTACCCTCGATAAACATGACCCCTATATATCGAGAGCCGTCGCTTTCTATTCATTTTTTACGGAGTACGCTTGGTTGGAGTGACATGTTGGGTGAAGTTTTAGGCTCGAGTCACAGGAGGCTGGGCTGTGGGTTGAGTTTTACTGTAGCTTGGAGGCGTGTGACGCTAGCTGACTGCTTCTTTGGACCTAAATTGGACGTTCCTTAAAAAGGGATCACTTGGAGGTGCTCACTGTGCTTTATCGTCATCGAAACACGTGGGTTGATATGCCGCCGTTGAAATGCTCTCCAAACCAAGAGCTCGTGGCAAAAACACAGCATCTGACCACAATAACTCTCCCGGCTGGCCAGGTTCCCAACGTTGTCAAGTGCGGGCTTTAAGCGCGGGGTTTGGCGTGGCGGGCCGCCTTCCGGGCTGCTGATTGGCCAGCCGGCCGGCTCCTGGCCCCACCATGGCACGGGACCAACACGACTTCACCGCGAGCAGCAACTGACGACGACCTCTCTGCTGCGCGTGTGCACACACCCTGCAGAGGCCTGTCTCTGGCCACCTGAAGGGCAGGAAGCCCTAGACAGCTCCCCAGCCTTCTGGCATTTAAGCCAAAGGAAGCTGTTGGTCTCTTTTCCTCCTTCAACTTCGCACTTCACCGTTCTTCGTTTTGTTTCTAAGAGGCGACCTGCCTGGGTTCCCTGTCTTTCACCATGGCTTCTGTCGTAACACAGGCGGCCACTGCAGCTTCGTCTGCAGCTGTTGCGACACCTACAAACAGAGCTGCTCCTCAGGGTGGGATCTTCGACCATTCGAATCCGTCTCGGTATGACCCGAAGAACCCACTTACCTTGTTCATCATTCAGGTACGCGATTTCTACTGTGGGTGCGAGCGACATGGTTGCACACTAACTCTTTTGTTTTAGGCTGGGATAATCGTCATTTTCTGTCGTCTGCTGCATTTCCCGCTCTCCAAGATGCGCCAGCCTCGCGTGATATCAGAAGTCATCGGTGGGATCTTGCTCGGTCCTTCAGTGATGGGCAGGATCCCCGGGTTTCGAGAGACTATTTTCCCAGAGGAATCGCTCCCCAATTTGAACCTGGTGGCCAATCTAGGCCTTGTCCTGTTCCTCTTCATGATTGGTCTCGAAACCAATATTAAAACGTTGACGAGCAACTGGAAAGTTGCTGTTAGCGTGTCTGCCGCTGGTATGATTCTTCCCTTTGGACTGGGTAGCGCCATTGCATATGGGCTGTACCACCAGTTCCGGGGAGATCCTGGTTTGGCACCGATTGATTTCGGTACTTATATGCTTTTCATCGGTATAGCTATGGCCATCACGGTATGTTCGTCTTTGGAACTACTAGACTCCCCATGATGCTTACACTGTGTCTCTAGGCATTTCCTGTTCTTTGTCGTATCCTTACTGAATTGGAGCTGTTGGACACCAATGTTGGAGTAATTGTCCTCTCGGCTGGGGTTGGCAACGATGTTGTCGGCTGGATTCTGCTCGCTCTTTGCGTTGCGCTTGTTAACGCAAGCACAGGGCTTACGGCGCTATGGGTCCTCCTTACTTGCGTTGCCTTCACCTTGTTCTTGATGTACGCTGTTCGTCCTGTTTTCCACTGGTTTCTGAAACGGACAGGCAGTCTTCATGATGGGCCCAGTCAATCTGTGGTTGCCCTAACACTCCTTTTGGCTTTGGCAGCGGCTTTTTTCACACAGGTGATTGGTGTCCATGCTATCTTTGGTGGCTTTTTAGTTGGGATTATCTGTCCCCACGACGGAGGGTTTGCCATCAAACTCACAGAGAAGATTGAGGATGTAATCGGCGCTCTCTTCCTTCCGCTATATTTTGCTCTCTCTGGGCTCAACACCAACGTTGGCCTGCTCGACTCTGGAATTGTCTGGGGCTATGTTTTTGCAATTGTGTTTATCGCACTTATCGCGAAGATTGTAGGCGGCATGCTGGCCTCGAGGTTCAACGGCCTACTGTGGAGAGAAAGCGCCACGATCGGCGTCCTGATGAGCTGCAAAGGGTTGGTAGAACTTATCGTCTTGGTATGTTCACAGTCGGTGTTGCTGTATCTCGAGACGGACTAACAATTTGTTGCTAGAACATTGGACTTCAAGCAAAGATTCTGAGTCTGCGTACTTTTACCATTTTCGTGGTCATGGCACTGATTACAACTTTTGCCACCACTCCTCTTACTTTGTGGCTATATCCTGAATGGTATAGAACCAAGGTGTATCGATGGAGACGCGGAGAAATTGATTGGGATGGGAACCCTATCGATTCAGAGACCGAAACTAGTGGCCATGGCTCAGATATTCTCCAGCAAAAGGCACGCTCCTTGTCGATCAGGAAATTGATGGTTTATCTTCGCCTCGACAACCTTCCGGGCCTTTTTACGTTTATTTCCTTATTGGGAACCAATGATACGATGGCTGTTGAAGGCTCAAAGACCCACCATAGCCATGGTAAAACGGAAACCGGTCAACCTACAAGTTCGAAGAAAAGCAGGCCCGTCGAAGTCCATGGAGTTCGATTGATCGAACTCACGGATCGTGATTCTAGTGTGATGAAAGTCTCGGAAGCCCATGATTATAGCTTCAGCGACCCTATCCTGAATACGTTCCGCACATTTGGACAATTGAATAAGGTGGCCGTTTCCGGAGCTGTTGTTATCTCCCCAGAGCATGCGTATGCGGAAACTTTGGTGAACAAAGCTCGGGACTTCTCCTCGGATTTCATACTTGTTCCATGGAGCGAAACCGGAGGCATGAGTGAACGCCAGATTCCGTTCCTCGATGAGAACAGCGAGAAGTTTTCGAGTGGTCCGCACAGCGCATTTATTTCGAATGTCTTGAGGAATGCCAAAAGCCCCGTTGGCATCTTGGTGAATAATGGGTTCGGCGGGCCCGCCTTAACCCAACCGAAACCGGGGCACATCAAGCGGACTATTAGCGGGGGAAGCATGTACCAAACCAATGATCTGGCAATGACACCCTCTCTGGAAGATGGCCATCACATCTTCTTCCCCTACTTTGGGGGTGACGACGATCAGGTTGCTCTCCGCCTGGTTCTCCAGCTTGCTAAAAATGCAGCAATAACAGCGACGATTGTCCAAGTCGTGCTTGATGGAGAAACAACTTCCGACTCTTCATCTAAGCGCCCTGCAGTATTTTACGGTCTTGCTGTGACATCGGACGAGAAAGAGGCCGATGGTGCGTTTTTCAACACCATTCGTGATTCTCTTCCTTCAGAACTCGCACCGCGGGTTATCTTCCAGACAATGCATGCTACCGGTACGGAGCTGATTAGCGCCACTTTGCAAACGGCCAAGCTGGATGTCGGCAGATCAAAACAAAATCGCGGCGACATCGTCATTGTAGGCCGGAATAGCGTTGTTCATGCCACGGGATCCAGTTTCGGCCTCAGCCCGTCTTCGGCTACTGGGGAGATCGGATCAGAAGCTCGAAAGGCACTCGGCGTCGTTGGTGGATCGATGGCTGCGAAGGTGAACGGGGTCGAGGCGAGTGTTCTCGTGGTGCAGGCGGGCAAGGAAAGTTGAAGCTGGCTTCTCCTTTCTGGTATTTTTGTACCAACCCATTGTGTTGGGGATTAATATATAAGGGCGTGACATTGATGAACAAGGAGTATATATGTTGATGCAATACAATTGACATGTGCTGTGCAGCTTGGGATATGCTTGGCATCCAATGCTGCGGCGTTCAACACAGACACAAGGCGTTTGTGCCACGATGAAGCTGCAAAAACCCTAGCTCCCAATCCTGCCCATGCAGTCGCCCCACGGGTTAATTCCCATGTCATCTAACCCGGCTGGCTCCACCCAGACGATATTGAAGTCTAGCAGCAAATCAAATCGTGCAACTTAGATGTTTGATTTGTATGTAGCATGTTTCAAAATCAGCTGTTCTGGACCCTGTTATCAGAGTAAACCAATTCTATGACTCCGCTGAGCTTGCATGTTTTCGGTTGTGCCACGAGCCGGAATCACTTTTTGAAAACTGTCGTGGGACAAGATATGCAAACGTGTACTTTCGTAAAAGGCGTCGGGTTTTTGGCTACACCATCTAATTACAAAGAGTCCGGCTGTGTTGCAATAACCAATGCAACGCAGATAGGGTTTTTTACAGAAGCAGCATCCGGAACGCCGGCGACCGAGGCATTCCACTCTGCGCAGCTCCAATCAGCCAGCTCGTGTCAATCACAGATACGGTTTTGCTCTGAACCCAAATAATATGTCGGGCTCTGGCAACGAGTGAGGATGGGCCAACTCCGTCCGGAGGATATCTATCGTGGGGTTGAGGGTCCATCTGCCTGTCGAGAAGCTGGAGGGCGGAAAATCGCGTATCGGGGAAGCTTAAAAGCGATTAGTCACGATTGACAAAAAGCCCCGAACGAGTTCGACAGATCTTCTAGAAGGGAACTTGTCGGCTAGCGCCAAGCCTAATTCCAACAGCCAGTCAATATTAATTTCCATGCCGGTTTGACGCTGAGACGGACGGCACGGCGTGATCTCGCCAGACGGACCATCATCTCTTCCCCCCGTCCATAGTTAGTCCGCGCATCCTGACCGGCGCTGATCGCACTTCTGTGCGCGGCTGGATTGAACGAAGCTCACGAACGCAGCCTCTTGGCGCCGGCACAAAGTTTCGGCGGTACGGCGCTGGTAAATACGGTGGCTTGGCATCCCACTTGCCCCTTGCCAGAATACCGGCGGGGTGCCGGTTGGCCAATCGGCGGGCTGCAGTGGGTTTAAATTACGATAGCGGTACGGGCATTTTCGCGCTGCATAAAATCCGCAAGTTGGTCGCACGGCATCTCAAAACCCCCCGGGAAGGATGATGGATCTCAACCACCACGACATCCGGCTGGCAGCTGCGCAGAGGGAGCCCGCGTCGTCGATGGACATATTATTGTTCCTCCAGTCGGGAGAGCCTTGCCCCGGAATGTTCAGCGGTGACCTCCCCCAGCTGGAGTTCCCGATGGAGTCACTCCACCGGACCTTGTCCTCACCCGCCGCTGTTGGTCCAGCTTGAGATCCGTCTGCTTGCCACCAGGGTCTGAAGTCGAGACCAGGGATCAACCGCAGAATGTGGAGATTTGCAGCATTTTGCTGGGTTCGCCGTCTGGACTCAGTGTTGGACTTGCGATCTGGCGGTGGTCTCTAGGGTCGACGTGGTAACCAGTTGCAGCGAAGATCGGCAAATTCCCCTTCAGTTGCGGAATTTAACGCTTCTCTTGCAGTGTGGTCTCCAGCGGAATACAAAGCTAATGCTCAACCCCAGATCTGCCTGATTCCCCGCGTTTCTCTCCCTCTTTTTGCTTTTCCCTCTGCCCTGCTCTCTTCCCTCTTCCATCAGCGAGGGCATACAGACTTGGTGTTGCATCGCGTGAGGCTTGTCTCTTTGGTCCCATATACGCGCCTGCATTCCATCCCACCTAAAGATGGGGAAAGAAGGTGAGTCGCAAGCGAGCGCGGCTATTTCACTGGTCGAACACTGTGGGCGGTATTAACGGCGGGGAAATTCTACTGCAGGTTTCGGACACCGAGATCCCATCAGATGCATCTGTCGAGAACAGCAATGATGGCACCCCAACGCTCGTCAACACAACAGAGCGTAGGCTGATGGCCAAAATCGACTGGCACATCCTTCCTGTGCTCTGTGTGCTCTATCTACTCGCCTTCCTGGATCGGTATGCCCTGTCTTTTGGAGCACGATGTCTTGCCTGCCTGCGAGGTCCTAAGATCAGTCCAGTGTCAACATTAGCAATGCGGTCATCTTCAAGCTGCGCGAGGACCTCAACATCACCACTGGCACACAGTACAATACCGCTTTGACCATATTTTTCGTGCCATATGTGCTTTTTGAGGTACCTCATATGATCTATCTCTGCCAGCCCTCCTTCCAGCCCTGCTGACAATCCACTAGATCCCGTCAAACATCCTTCTTAAAAAGCTTCGCCCGCATCTATGGTGTAAGCAGCCATCAGCATTGATCTATCGAGACCATCTTCACTCACAATTATTTTAGTATCCGTCTGCATGTTCCTCTTTGGCTTGACGACCCTATGCCAAGGCCTCGTCCAGAATTATGCTGGTCTGCTAGCTACCCGTTTTTTCTTGGGTCTCTTCGAAACTGGCATGTTTCCGGGATGTACGTGCACACTTCTATTCAATTCTACCCGTATGGATCTAAGTGGTTCTCCGAACAGGTTTCTATCTTATGGGAATGTGGTATAAGCGAACTGAAGCCCAGAAACGCTTCTCCTTTTTCTTCAGCTCCACTACCTTGGCAGGCGCATTTGGAGGTCTTCTGGCTAGCGCCATTGGCAAAATGGATGGACTTTCCGGTTACAATGGCTGGCGATGGATTTTCATCCTTGAAGGCCTCCTGACTTGCGTCGTTGCATTCGCATGGTACTTCTTAATCCCTGATTTCCCAGAGGATGTCAAATGGATGACCGAAGAGGAACGGGCGTTTATCAAAGCTAAGCTGGCGAAAGATGTCGGGGATGCTGGTCGGGATGTCTCTATAAGTTGGAAAGATGTGATTGATGTGGTGAAGGATTGTGAGTTTTTGTTCTCTTTTTTATCTCCTTCCGTAACGGCACAATATTTGCAAGACACTAACTAGTCTCACAGACAAGGTCTTGCTTGGAGGATTGATGTATTTTGGCATGATTGTTCCCGCATACGGCTATGCTTACTTCGCGCCCACAATCATCAAGACTTATGGATACAGCCGTACGTTTTCCACAAGTCGCTTTTGCCCTTCCGCCACACTGACCCTCTCCCAGCAATCAAAACGCAGCTCTACTCCATCCCCCCATGGGCTGTCGCATTCGTTTTCGCCATGCTCATTGCCTACCTCTCCGACCGTGTTAAACACCGCTTCCTGTTCGCGATGTTCCCCATCTGCCTCGCCATGGCCGGCTTCGGCATCGTTCGAAACGTCCACGGCTTGGCAACCAGACACACGCAGTACGCTGCGCTCTTCCTGATCACAATGGGTGCCTACAGCGCCATGCCGATTATCATCTGCTGGTACGCGATGAATCTGAGCGGGCATAAGCGCCGCAGCATCGGAACAGGGTGGCAGATCGGCTTCGGTAATAGTAAGTAGATTTTCAACATCTGCATCGAATCGCTCTTTCTTTACTAATTGTCATCCCTCCTTCCCAGTCGGCGGTATCGTTGCAACGTATTCGTTCCTCGAAAAGGATAAGCCAAACTACATTCCCGGCCACACGATCTGTATATCCTTCCTCGCGCTTGCCGCAGCCGCGTGCATCGTCTACCTCGGCCTCCTTTTGTATCGCAACAAAAGCCGGGACAAAGCCGCTGGCACCGGCCCCATTGACCTTACTCCTGAGCAGGAGCAAGAAAATGAATTGCTTGGAGATTTGAATCCCACCTATCGATACCAGTTGTAAAATGATGCTATGTTTCAAGGTGAAAATGGTTACTTTGATGGTGTTCTCTGTTTGTGATTTCGGCGCGCGGATCGGCGGATATAGTCAGAGACATGAATAACTACCCAATAACTTGCTCTTCCCCTCAGCTCTAACAGTTAGGGTTGAGCAACTCTTCTTTGAGAACATGGGAAGTTCATACATCTTCGGGTAACTCTACTATTCTATCATAAAGTAGCCGCCAAGAGTCATTCCTAAAAACTATCACAACCGGAAAATCCAGCGCAGGGCTTAACAATAACAAAAGACGCCCATTGACATACATGTATCACCTTTATCAAAACAATAAAGGGAAAATGCAACGAACCATCAAGAAAGGAAGGAGAGAAAAAAAAAAGGTCATACATGAAAGTTCATCATAGTCCGTCATAAATATCACCATCAAGGACACCCGGAAGCAGGGATAGGGTCGAAGCCCAATCGCCTGCAGAAAGCAACCCAGACCATCTGGATTTACCTAAATTGAAGGGAAGGGAAAAAACGATGACCTGCATAACCGTGCGCTGTAATATTTTGGATATCGACTGTCCCACCTCCAAACGGATTCCACATTTTCACAAGAATGAACTGCCCAGATCTAGCGACGTTTTTGTTAGACACGAGCTTGATACCCCGGAGTAGGCTGGCGGAGGGAGGCATCAAAATCAACTTACACAGGTGGATCAAATTTGATGCTCACAGCGCTTTTATCTTTTCTGATAAAGAATCTCGCATGCGGGGAAAGAATCTCTTCCGGGGCTGGATTCTGGCTAGTCTCTTCGGGCTCATTGGTATATGGCTCCGCTGGAAGCCCGACGGTACTGGACAGGAAACGACTCCTTATTCCCATGTCATTGGGATCGGCGCCCATTGAATGTCGCACTACGCGCCGAATTTCGCCAAGTAGATGATCAGACATATCGCTCAGTTCCCCATCACTTGTATCAGTGCCATCATCTGCCGGATAAAGAGCTTCGATAAAGTTTTCGTACACTCCTTCAGCATTAACCGCTGAATTTTCAGATTGCTGATCGGCCGTGGATCCATCATCTGATTTATCATCCTGTTCCAAAGTAACGCGAAAATCCGGCGACGATTGTCTGGAACCTCGGTTATGGTCTGTAGAAATAATGGAGCTATTTTCATAGGAGGACACTTGTGCTGGGTGTACGAGAACCGTGCGTTGAGGCGACGAAAGTGAAGCTCGAAGAGCAGTTAGATACCGTTGCGAGTGACTCTGCCAAGAATTCCGAAGAGGTTGAGGCTGCAAAGGGCGACAACTATAGAACATATGATACCGAGCTGTGCGGCTTAATACCTCATCGGAGACCATGCTCACGAAGACCATTCCTTCGCGAATACCTGCCCTAGATCAACCAAGTTCGTCAGGGATTCAACTTCGCCAAATGCAAGCATAAAGGTGACACTTACGGTCCATCAAATCCAGATTTTGGGGCCTTTATGACCAGCTTCTTCAGGCAGAACGGAGTTTGACCTTGATGTTTTAGAACGATATTGCATCTAGTGCTCTTCGCGCGGTATAGAGAATTGTCATTGAGTAAAATGTTCTCTGGCCACGAGCTTCGGCCGTCCATCCCATATGGGCCACCATCGCAGGTGTGGATATGCATTTCTAGTGCTCCAGGAACAACTTGGCCGTAATGCCCATAACTAAAGCCACGGGGACCTTCACGGTTATCATCAGAATCAAGTTTAACCCGTTTATTTTGTCGACGGCTTGATGGTGTGTCTGGAGAATGCTCTCGGGGATTAAGTCTCGGGACCTCGTTATTATCATTAAGTAAATTTGAGGGCGTTGAATGCACAGCTCCCTGTCGTATTGCTGCTGAGCGCAGGGCGTTAGATGTATTATCGGTCGGTCTCCTTGCACCCGTTATCGTCGAAACGTCCTCATCTCGATTCATCCTTATCCTCCTTGATCCCGAGTTCAACAGGTGAGCTTGAACAACATCCGAGGTTTGTTGAATGGTGCGTCGCAAACGCTCCCGCCGTTCGGTTTGGCCCGCGACGAATCTCTGACTACGGCGATAATCCAGCAATCTAGATGCTGCCGTGCTCGGGTAAATATCGTCTATTTCACGATTGATGGCGTCCCAAGCGCGATCTCTCAGCGTCACATCATCGTCATGAAGCTCCGAAATAAGCTCTCGAAGATGCCGTAATTGAGTGGCTAATGTCAAGCGAGCCTCGTTTGATTGAGATACGTGGGAGCTTAGGGGTTGAGTACTTGATGCTGGAGGAGAATCAGAGCCGTCGGGCTATACAATGGGAAAATGAGTAATATTAGTTCTACGAATAAAGAGGCCATCATTTGGAATTAGTGCCAATTGCTGGGTTGGGGAATGCAGAAGCTCACCATCTCTGACAGGGTGGGTGAGGTTCGCTCTTTTTAAGATCAGATATGAAGTGGTGTTCAGGCAATAGGCAGAGTAGGAGTTCTGAATTTCGTACTATGGTGTGGCAGCCTCGACCTCAGGAGGGGATGTGCAACAGGCTGCGGGGAAGACTGGTTCAAGGGAAAAAGCGGCCTTGATCTCCTTTCCCAGCTGCAGGTATGAATGGCTAGCGTAATCGAAAAAAGAAGAAAATTATTGGGGGAGAAAGCAAAGGAAACAATGCATGATGTTGTGGAAGACCAAACTGGCGATGGGATGTGGTGAGATGTCAAGATGGGGGAGCGTGCTGATGTAATCAGTTGTTCTCGCCTAGCCTCAAACAGGTTAGTCAATGATGTATTATATAATCCATAAGGCTGATCACCAACACCAGCCACAGCTGTCACATGATCCTTGGCGTTCTTTGTTTCTTGCCAAGCATTAGTTGTTTATATAATCAGTCTTGGCAACATAATACACTCCAAGACAATCATATCAAACGTTCCATGTTCAAATGCTTCACAAAGACATCAATCGCAGGCCACCCAGTCACTTCGGAACCTTCCTCGCCTTTCCTTGGATGATTGACCTTACTAGATTTTGCCTCATGAGTGACAGGGGATAGTGGCTGAGAGCTTGAGCTTGTGATCTAGATCGTCTACTTTACGTCGTAGACGGTTCCTTATATGTGATGGCGCAAGCCGACGGTGCCCATTCCATCACGGCCGGTGAGTCTCTTCCTTGATCCTACATTTTAACCGCTTTCTAACAGCCGGAACTAGATGAGATCGCCCTTTATGACCGCCAGATACGGCTCTGGGGCGTGAAAGCCCAGGAAAAGTACAGATCATTCCCAACGTTTAGAACATGGGTGTCCAGATTCTAACACATTCTTTTGCAAAGAATACGAACAGCAAATATATTGCTTGTCACGCTGAAAGGAATTGGAAATGAAATCGCCAAAAACCTTGTCTTGGCGGGAGTGGGATCCCTAACAATCCTTGACGATGCGACTGTTCGCGAAGAAGATCTTGGTGCACAGTTCTTCATTTCCGAAGATAATGTTGGGCAAAAAGTGCGTTACACATCCTAGCCGAATACCCCGAGTTTATGACTGATTCTCGCTCTAGCGTGCAGAAGCGGCGGCCCCTCAAATAAAACAAATGAACCCGCGAGTGCAGCTTCATGTTGATACTTCAGATGCAAAGACAAAGCCTCCTGAATTCTTTGCTGCCTTCGAAATTACAATTGCCACAGATCTTGATTTTGAGACTTTCTCCAGAATTAATGAAGCATGTCGAAAGGCGAACCGGCCTTCATATATGGCGGGCGTACATGGCTTTTACGGCTTCATCTTCGCGGACTTAATAGAGCATGATTTTGTAATCGAACGCGAAAAGTCCAACGTCCCTTCACGTACTCACGAGACTATGACCCGTACGATTCTGCATATAGCCACGAAGGTGGAAAACGAAAAGCTTATTGAGATGGTAACCAAGCGAGAGACATACACCCCTCTTATTGAGGCAAATAGTTCACCCTTGCCGGAAGAGTTCACAAAGGTCCCCCGGAAACGCAAGCAGGTCACCCCTCTTCTCACTTGCCTGCGAGCTCTATGGGATTTTCAACGGCAAAATGGCGGTGCCTATCCTTCGTTCTCACGAGAAGATCTAGAGAGATTCACTATCCTATCCAACGAACATCATCTCCAGCTTAAACTCGATCCTTCAACCCTCACCGCGGAGTTTCTGCGCAGTTTCCTCCAAAACGTGGGCAGCGAAATCAATCCAGTGGTTGCCTTTCTGGGTGGGCATCTAGCCCAGGATGCAATCAACGTGCTGAGTGCCCGTGAACAGCCGCTGCAGAATTTTCTCCTGTTCGACGGCGAGCGGAATATTTCTCCAATCTATTCTCTGCACCCTGTTAACAATAGTGGATCGTGAAACTGCAGGAAATTGTTTGCACGGATATCATTGGTGGAATACGGAATCTAGAAGGCGGATCTCTCATAACAGACTCAAGTGTGGTTTGGTTGTGGGACGGTAGTGGCTGATTCAATGCAGGAGCTCGGATGATTTGAGGAAGTCTAGAAGTTTTGCCTCCGAGACAAATTTCAGTTGCATTGAATCTAGAAGACTTGGTGATCGGATACAAGAGGAAAAGCTCGTCATGTTAAAAATAGATGCGAAAGTTTGCCGGCACTCAGAAACATGACATATGACTCTCATGACTTCCATTCTCAGCCACTCGAGTGGTGTCATGTTTTTTTTTTTTCTCAAGCTCTCCTGCTCCAGAATCACAGCCTTAAAGAATTTTCTCTGCTGATCTACAAGGGCCGATGCTGGCGGTGCCTGGGACGTGATCCGCACCACCCCCTGCCATGAGAAATCTAGGATGTCAATCCGATGCGCACAGGGCCTATTCCGGATGCCTGCCGCTTTGTTTCGGAGTCGCCATTTTTTATTCGGACGGGGAAGTCTGACTGGG